CCCACCCCCACCCCCTCAAAAAAATAAAATAGAAAAATAAAGCCAATCACCTATAACTGTAAAATGGTCAATATTCAACTGGGTTACATACAGTAGTAGTTCCTTTCCGCCAATTATGAAAATCCCGCCCAAACTCTCAATATTTCCCACCAGTTTACCCACGCGCGGTCACAGTAATGCGCCGCGGTGCAGTTAACTCTAATAATTACTAGGTGGTGAACTCTCCGAACGGCCTCCCTAACTGGGTGTAACGTAACTGCTGTTTCTGTCTGTCTGTCTGTCTGTCTTTTTTCTCTCTATGCTTATGTACGATCACGTTAAGACTGCCTGCCCCACCCCAAACCTAAGTTCACTTGATAAAACACCCTATCTGAGGGTTAGGTTAGGTTCGGTTAGGTTAGGTTAGGTTAGGTTCGGTTAGGTTAGGTTAGGTTAGGTTCGGTTAGGGTGTATAATCATGTGAAATAAACCGGGGTGTTTCATGTTCACGTGATACATTACACATGTTCATATGTTACAAGAACAGTTCATCATGGCTACACGTGAATAAAGTTCTTACCTTACATTTGTAGACAAGTGTTCGTAAGTTTATATCCACACTTGCATACAAGTAGTTTCTTTTCAAATGTGTGTAGACAAACATTTATCCAGGTGTGTGTGTGTGTGTGATGAATTTTTAGGTGTAATTGTCCTTTTAAAACTTCAAATTTAAAAGACTTATTTACGACATGAGGATAAATTTATATTTGTATCAATCAAGTCCAATGGAATTAATGTACATATAAAACTGACTATTTAAAGACATCCTTCGCTGTCTTCACCAAACTTTACCTCTACGTAACACTAAAAAAAAAAGTCCAACGCGCATTTTTTGTATTAGGATTAATAACTACTAATACATTCAGTAAGTGATTTATTTTATTAAATACACTTGGTGACCGACACATGCGCGGGGTATCTAATGAGAGTGTGTGTGTGTGTGTGACGCGACTTGTCCACCACAGCGTCGTGAAATATGAACACCCACCACCACTACCACCCATCACACAGTGGGAGGGGGTGAGTGGGAGTGTCCTTGAATGTCATGTCCTAGATGGCTTTGTGCTACAGGGCTCACACACTCTCTCTTATAAGTACATTCTTACACTATAAACTCAAACACAAACACACACACACACACACTCACATAATATACTAGTCATACCATACACACACACACACACACACACACACACAGACATTGCTTCAACTCTTCCCACAGGTCCAGCCACTGAGCCTCCATAGAGAAGACGTGTTTATCTCCTTTACTCATGATTTTTATGTGCTTCTCTTCCTCAGTCCCGTTAAGCTACCAGCAACCAAGAAAACCCTTACATTGCTCACCACCATTATTAGTCTTTTGAGGCGACGAAGAATATAATATCAAGACGTGACTCACGCCACCTCACAACGATGTATGATGATGTTCAAATTGTGATGTCCTGTTACAGCCTTTATGGAAACGCCAAGAGCAATTGTCGTATATTAAATAAGAGAATATACATTTATAAGTATTATGAAGGAGACAATGTTTTTTATTTCGTTTGTTTTTTCTTGATTCCCACAGCTGGCTGGACGACTTGCCACCTTACGCTTCAACAGTCATCTACTTGACCAGATTTAGTTCTTTATACCGCAATTTATACCTGATTTCGCATTTTGTATGGTTTGTTATATTTACTTTGTTTTTACCTTTTTTATATTGAGTTTTACATAATAAATATTTCCAACAGTACAGGGATGATTGGACAATCGCTAGGCAGATCAATAGTGAATATCTATGCACGATGACAAGAGATGTGAATATACTGTACTGTAATTAGTCAAGCCCAGTAGCCCGCTCCCTTTACTAGTGATTACATTTTGTCTATAAGGTTTTACTTTATCTCTGTAGGACCGACATAATTTCTTAGAACTTTAGACAAACAGATGAAGGCGTGAATGCGTGGACGCAACCTTGACGCCTCACAGTCCATATTGAACAAAAGTGAACACAAGGATTTGGCAACAGGGGACATAAACACAAGATCATACTCTCATGCAGGATTGGAGAGGTGGTTTGGAGATACATAAACACAACGTGGATATAAGACTAAACAGAGTGCAGGCGGCTAGGAGACTGTTGTGGCAGTAACAAATCAGCAAATAGCAATGTTCAACAACGGTACAGCATTAACTGTCAGAAAGCAGGATAAAGGTCATATTACTGAAAAAGGCAAAAACGGATCATATGAACTACACTTGACTTAGGAAGCTTGGATCTCAGTTTATCCCTAAATGACTGAACATCCCGCATCTACCAACATGACGCGGCAGCAGCGACCAACACACGGCAAACTGGGTGACGGTGCCAGGCAGTCCTTACCAGCGGTGGTCGTAACTCTCTCACCCACCACCACCACCACACCGTCACCCCACAACACAGGTCCTCATACCGCCACATATAAAGTATAACTCGACAACAAAAATTTACTTAACGTATAAATGACAAAGCTACATAAAATATTATAAATTACTTGTCAGTTTGTAATGATTTTCTCAACACCCAAAAAATACATTCGTCTATTTATACAGAGTTCCAGTGAAGCCAGAGGAATTCTTATCCTTTCCCGACAGTTGGAACTCTCTGCCACTCTCTAGCACAGGCCTAAGAATATGTACTACAGGGAGATGTCTAACTTCAAGAATTACGTATCATTTGTAATTGTATACTGATCGAATTCTTTCAGTCTTACGTTCAGTATGTACATTAAGTCTTGTTTACAATAAAAAAAACGATGATAAACAGTAATGCCAGCACCGCGTCACACCACCAGGGAGGGAGGGAGGTGACTCGTTCAGGCAACAACGTGTGGTGGGTTTACTCCAGGTTTAACATGTCTTGTAAAAATAAGTAACCAGCTTCGTCCTACTAGTGTTTGTATCGTCTGAACGTTCTTCATTTCACTCCCACTCTCTTTCTCCTTCACATCTTCCTTCTCTCTCTCTCTCTCTCCTTTCACGGCGTTGACAGACTTTACATTATACTATGCCTTATCTTTTTGCACTTTTCCTTCCCGTCTATTATTATCTTTCCCTCTCATTCATCCATCTATTTCCCTATTTTTCCTCATTCATGTATCTTTCTCCATATCAATTTCTCTATATCAATCAATATACTTATCTTTGAGTATCTACACACACACACAACAGAACTACAGTACAGTATCATCGGACAATATTTCTGCCTCAGTGGTCATCAACTAGCGGTGTCCAACATAATCTCTGTACAGTACAGTACATGTGTCCTTAACCTGTAATGCTTCACACAGGTGCATCACAGGTGTGGCTAACGGCTAACTGACGAAAACACACATAATAACACACCTGTCCCTGAGAACAAATGTTTATGGCGTTCCACGACTTACAGGCTGCTGGTGGTCATCTGTGTTTCTGAAGGTGTTGTGAGGATTCCTTTACCTTATTCAGACCAATTTAATATGCACTGAAAGTCCCTTGCCAAGTTCTGAAGCAAACCTGTTTTTTTGCTATATTTTCTATACTCAAAGTGAAAGCATAAGGGTTGAATAATTCGTCACCTCACTATGTCACACCTCTCAGCCACACCACTTGACACTCTTCACTCATGATGTATCTATTCCCTGAAGCCTCAAAGAGAGAGTGTGTATGTGTGTGTGTGTGTGTGTGTGTGGCGGAGCTCGAGGAAGGATACCCCTCCACCGACAAGGAAAACAAACACAACACAATAATAAAACACGAAAGAATAAATCATCACCCAGAAAGAAAACAAAATAAACTCCAGCAAAAGAAAGTTCATGAATTTCTTCGTAACTGACCAAATACTGAATCAAAATTGAAAGAAGAATGAGAAACAGAAGCCATTTTTTTGTTCAGAAAGAAGAGAATAAGACACAGATCTATAATGAGAGACAATAACAAACGAATACACGGTGAAAGTAATGTACTGTATGAGGAAATAGAGGCAATATAAGGCAGCATAGAGAGCTCTCCCATCTTAACCAACAGAGACATCAAGTATCATGTTCATTATTGGAGTTAATGGTAATAAACACAAAATTGACCTACACGCTAATTATTCTTCAATTAAAACACATTATTATGAATTTCAGACAAGGTAATAAACCACATCGATTCCCGCAGTGTCTTGAATGTGATACAGATAGGTATATACTGTATAGAGACACATAAGACTGCGGCAGCTTACCGGAAGAAGTTGATTTAGCACTAGACTCTCGAGTTAGTGGTGCTGCTGGCTACCATTACCACAACTACCATCACCACTACCATCATAATACAGGGACTGCCCTTAAGGTCTGACAAGGTCTCACGTTAAGTCAAAATTCGAGTCCCGCTGTCTGACTCATCCTCAACAGGGTACTTAAGTGAACCCTACCACCTGTCACTTAAATTGTAAGTGTTTATTTCTAGTTCTAAACTTAAGAAATAGATCGCGATGGCCGGCAGTTTATGGTAGTGTTAAGTAGCGTTAAGTTGCCCACAGTTTAAGTTAATTTTGTGTCAAGCCTATTGATGTGTAAGTGTTCACTGGTCACTTAAGTGTTCACAGGTACCTTGAGTGTTCACTGATCACCACTTAAATGATCACCTGTCATTATTTAAGTGTTAACTGGTCACCACTTGAGTGTTTACTGGCCACTTAAATGTTATCACCATTTCATTAAATTATCACACACTACTATACTGTACATATTACTACACATCTTAGTCACTGATGGTCCTCACTACAGTAAACGTTTAGTATTTCCAACAGTTTCTTTGTATAACACACAACATAACATCACTGAAGGAAGATCAATATTTCAACATGCCATAAGATGCGTTACATTCTTGCAATACAAAAATAAATCAAGGGTACTTTCTTTATCAAGTTTAAAATAACGTAAGTCAACATAAGAAAAAGATCTCAATTGTTTACTTACCTATTCGCTAAAATCACACTGAATACACAAACATACGTCGTTTAGAATAAATAACTCACAGAAACATTACACTAAGCACACTTAAACGTTCGTAATAAATATCCTTAAACCTAAGTTCGAAAAAAAAATATATTATCAAAGTTCGGTCGTGTGCATGGCAGAAAACTTGGCTCGAAACTGCGAGTGAGCCAACCCGCGCAGCCTCGGTGCCTGGGAGAGGGCCCTTCAGGTGCCACCTACCATATTTTCTTTATCAATCTCTACAGCCAGCAGCATGGCACTGTGAATCAGGCCTGAAATATAATAATCCTTGTAGTTTTTGTGACTATTTGCTCATGGAAATATTATGGTAGATGCTCAAGATTTTTTACGACAATGAAAAAAAATACCATTTGGGTACAAATTACTTTATATTTTTCATAAATGTGCCTCGGAATTATCCTCGGATTAAAACAAAGTCGCGCATATAATTTACACTGTAAACTCTCACAAAGAAATACATTTTATCTGTAAAAATGAACACCGTATAAGCGTTACAAAGTTTTAGCGCCAAGTGAGTTACCGTGTAGAGAATATTTAGGACGAGTGAGCAAGAGAGTGGGCGTGGACCCTCAACGTAACTATTAGTGTAAGGCCGTTGGGGGAGCTGTCTGTATTGTGTTTACACATCTTCTGAAGACACCGTTATGTAATGCTGACAAGAAGGAAATGCTAGCGAAAATATAACTCAAAGCATTCTCTTCAATTATTATCATTTGGTAAATGTTAATATCGACAGGCTAAATAATTTCCTTAACATTTACTAAGTTTCACCGCCATTATGCATACAGTCTGTAGGGATATAATAAAGGCTGTTTGTGTCATGGAGGTCGCACATAACCATCAGTTAAAGGTCTTGTCAGCGGTATATCACAATGTATCAAGGAGGTAAACATATCAGACCTCACGCAAGAATAAATTACCCATACATTTCTACAAACTATGTATATGCGTTATGAATAGTATATACACACACACTGTTTTCTTGTATATTAATTTCTATATATATATATTTTTTTTTAATTTTCAGTCTGTTTTCTAGGCTCAGATGATACAAAGCGATTTTCCGAAACGTTAGTAAATAAACTCAACATAGTCAAGATATATATAGGTATATATATATATATATATATATATATATATATATATATATATATATATATATATATATATATATATATATATATAGAGAGAGAGAGAGAGAGAGAGAGAGAGAGAGAGATGGTATACTTCTGTGCGTCTCGGATTCTCGGTATCGTAGTTATAGTTAAGTTTTATTAAAAGAAAACGTGTTGATTGACATACAGTGAAAGTGGGAAGAAGTCTGGGATATTCAATCGTAAACTAATTTATATGATTCTTCTGTGTCAATAATAATAATAATGATAATAATAATTATGGTGTAAAAACTAAAGCAATGGTTGTTTCCAAATTGGAAATAAATCCTAAAATAAAAATTATGATAGGCAACAGGAAACCTAAATAAGTGGAAAAATGTTGTGTATTTGGGAAGTAACATTATCTGTGATGGTAGATGTACGGAAGAAATCAAACAAGAACAGGGCCAGCACAAACAGCATTAATAATCTAAAAGAACCCAATGAAAAAATACTTAATTTCAATTTGAGAAAAAGGCTGCTGAAAAGCTTTATATGACAAGGACTGATGTATGGGTCAGAAGCGTGGACACTTTCAGTAGACACCAGAAAGAGGTTGGAGGAGGCCTTTGTAATGTGGCGTTATGGGCGAATGTTAATAATCTACACTGACAGGAAAACTAATGAGGAAGTACTAAGGTTAGCAAAAACTTCAAGAGAAATACTTGAAATGTATAGAAAAAGAAATATGAGATACTTTGGTCATATAATTAGGGATGAGAGGATAATAATAGAAATATTAATGGACATAGTTGAGGGTAGGAGGGCCAGGGGAAGGCAGAGACTGGGATGGATGAATGATATTTAACACCTAGTCCCCACTGATATACAAAACCTTGGAGGATTGGTAAAAACATCCCGAGAACGTTTAGAGTGAAGGACTGTGGTCAACAACCCTCGGATAAGAGGACGGTGCTCTGATTGAATGAATTAACACCAGAAAGTAAATCAACTTTCTACACAATGGCAAAACGTCACGATGTGCTCAGTAAAAAAAAAAAAAAAACGATCTTTATCTTCTGAAATTTAAATATTTTCGCTATAAAAATACCACGAAATTAAAAAAACACACACATCTATATATAAACCAAGAAAGGAACTAAGTCGCTACGTGCTAACTACACTGTGCGTTAAGGTCACCCAGAGGAAAATGCCCAACCGTAGTCTTTACCGGTCTCTGTTCATCATGGTGAGGGCCGCCCTATTCACTGAAGTTGTCAGGCGCTGCTCAGACCTGTCTTTTCTGTGGGCTTTTCTTCATTATCAACTCTGCCTTTAGCCATTTAAGAATTGTATCACTCATGATTCCAAAGAAAAAAAATAGAGGGGGATTGAATCCTGGTGACTTAGCACACACGCTCGTAAAGTTAATGCCTGAACTAAGATACATTTTTCTGAATGTCTGCTTTTTCACATTCAGAGTATTATAATTTTTTTCGTTTATTAAGATACTTTAATGATTTAAATTGCCATCTAGGGGAGGTTAGGTTTAAGCGATGCTAAGTTTGGTGTACTTATAAACATTTACCGCAGGCTCCATCATGAAACACTGTGTGGACATAACTGTAATATCCCCGAAATAAACGGCTACTTAACTTTTACTTCTGAGGAGATAATAATGAAAGAAAAAGTCATACGGCAACAATGCTCTCTTCAGGTCTTATCTAATGCTCAGTTGATAGAAGGTCACCTTAACACCATCCATTTGATTGATAAGATGACGAGATATAAAAGTTTGAAGTACAGCAGTATAAAATATTTAGGTTAAGATAAGTACTGAATTATAATAAAAAGACTAAAACATTATTAATTAAAAATAAATTAATTAATACCACAGCCTTTGGAATAAAAATAACACACCCAAATGAGGTAATGTTGCGCCAGAACTATAATTGAATTACAAAGTTTAAGCAAGTGGTGGTAGGTCGTAGTTAGCCACTCTTAATGGGAGGCGTGAGAGTGAGGTATCCCTGGATGATGGTAGTGGCTCGTCCCGCCAGGTCCACTCGTCCGTCACCCCTCACAGTCACCAACAAATCGCCACCACGGGGCGAACACTGGCGACCTGACAACCAAAAACTATTAAATTCTCGGAAAGAAAGACATTACTCTGCGATTAATAATTTGACACAAAAATGCAGGTCAATGAAGACTCAAGTCTGGATCATTACAACGTTACTTCATAAGAGGCCATACAACCTTGTTTTATGTATAACTATGTATTATTCATGAAACAAGTTATTATACAAAATTCATTTATATATTCTACACCTCAAATATTTATAAGTGATCACTTTTGAAACTCCAAATTATTTTGTTTGGACTTACATTTAAGTGTTGTAATCCCAAGTTCCTTTGACCAGTAAGGACCTAACACGGTGTGGGTCGATCCTGCCAAGCAAAAAAAGAAAACAGAGACAAAGATCTGTTGTTATTCCAGTACGCAGGAACAAGATGCATAATGGACAGTAATTTGTTTCAACGTTTCTCCAGAATGATGTGATGGGGATTCCCTCACCTGTGACGGGATCCTCGGGTATACCATTCCAGGGAGCGAAGTAGCGTGAAAGACAATGGTACTGGGGAGAGTCTGGTGCCGTGATCTGTGCGTTGGACACATGCAGGCCGCCATGCAGGGTATAGATGATGCCCTTAACCAGTGACCCGTCATGTAGGTTCAGAAAGCTTCCTGAGTCTATTCGGAGATTCTCCAAATGTTTCCTGTACACAAATATAATCGTTTTCAGGAGGGTGCTGTAGTACGTACCAATATGTCGTTTGGGGAATAAGTGTAACGTTATATCACTGCATGTATAGACATGTACAGGCCACATGTCCTATCTTAAAATATAATACTGTATTTTAAAGAGTTACCTCGTTCATTTTCCTGGTACCTTTGAATTCGCTAGAGTGACAAAGTTTGCTGTATGGAAGTTATGGAACATTAGTTATTCACAATATTCTTGCAATGAAGTGAAGGTGAAATTCCCCAATTCTAAGAAATGTTTTAGAAGAGCGAGCGAAGTGGGATGTGATCACCGGGAGTGAAATTAGATGGAGCGAAAAAACTAATGAGAAAAATAATAATATATATGGAGTATGTGGTCAGGGACAGATAACACGTTAAGTAAGAGCTATCAGCACTGTCATCAGCAGACAACCACGCCCAGGACAGGCCACTCTAAGAGTTCAATGATCCTGCCTCCACCACCATGATAAATACGAGTAGAAGGAAATTCAGGCTTCTGATGGACTTCTACTTTTACCATATATCCTCACTGTCTTCACCAATCACTCTCACAGAGGATTTTGAGCCATCGCATAATGTTATAACCACTCAAACAAGGCGCTCCCCGACTCCTACCTTCTTTATTGCCCACTTTACGACAAGCGGTACCTTGTCAAAGTCTTCTCTAAGTCTACAAATATAAAGTACAATTTTATCTTTCCCTTGGAGCTGCCTGACCATAAACATTGGCATAAACCCACAATGCATTTCGTTTATGTCTACTCCCTCCCTTATCAATTGCTCAATCACCTTTTCTACAACTTTCATAACCTGATCTAGCAGCTTCCGTTACCTGCAGTTCCCACATTCAGGTGCACCATCTTTACCCTTGAAAGTATTCATGATCACACTCTTCCGCCAGTCGTCTTGAACATTATATTCCATCATGATTACATTAATCCATTTGTTCAATATTAACGTGTCTACATCGCCTGACGCTTTCAGCATTTCTGCAACTATCCCAGAGCCTCCAGCCACCTCTCCATTCCTCATTTTTCAAATTTTTTCTCCACTCATTCTCTTTTAATCCTTAGGCATGATCTATGTATTATATTTACCATTGTACTTGGCAGATGAAATCGTATTAATGATAAACAATACAATACAAACTTCCTTCTCCCATTGAATCGAACCGTGCACCTATTAGACTCAATCCTTGGTATCAGATAAGAATTGGGACAAAATGTTTGATTATAAACAGAAACTAAATGCAGTAGGCTACTGTAGCTTCTCACCCATAGGTCTAAGGTAACACGAGGATAATGGAAACAGCGAAGTCGGAGGCAGAGAACTGGTGAGGGTGGGGAGGACCAACCTGGTACAGGAGTGGTGCAGCCTCACCAGGAGCTTCTTGGTGGTGTGGGAAAGCATCATTTGCTGTACCTGGAGGCCGTCCGTCGCCACTCTGAGGAGGGGGCCGAGCTGAGTGTCCTGGTGAGGAGTGAGAGGAACAGGAGTATTGGCGGGAAAGTCCAGTACAATGTTGTCACTATCCTTCCTGGCTACCAACACTCCACTCAGAGTCTCAAACTCCACGTGCGTCCTGCAGTTTCCTGTACAAATCAAACATGTGGTAGTAAAACAATTAGTTACTGCCAGGATTGACGTGGCTTATTGGGCCTACTACGGTTACTTAAGACCAAAATACTACTCAGAATGAAATAAATTTTAGTTGAAGATTGGTCTTTCACAAGTTATTTAATATTGTTTCTTGGCCATAGTTTAATTGTAAAGGGCATTATTATCACTAAAACTACTTTTGATGAATATTACACATACACACACACGTTTACCGTGTTCACTAAATAAAATATAAGAAATTAATTCTTCTGGCATTCCTCAAAATATCATAATTGGCTAAGTGATGTACAGAATGTTGCCTGAATGGCGTATACCGACAATTGTAATGTTGAATTGAAACAGTTTATTTAGCCAGAAAAATACAGATACAGAGTGGATAATAATAACAATATTAACATGACTGAGCCAGTTGAGAACTTGGGCTCTCCTGTAGCACCTGATATATACTGTACATTTAACTCAAGGAAGTATTATGTAACATTTAGTATCATCTGGAATAGTACAATAGCATGGTGGTAATAAGAACATCCCGGAATGTTACCACGGTTATCACTTCAATATTATTAATTTTATCTATTTATTAATATTTATTTTTTATTATAAGTATATACATAAATTACAGTGGAATTATAAAACATAAATATAATGGGGAAGCAATACATGGGTTGTACAGTATTAAGGTTGAACAAGAGGTCAGAGCTGTCAGGACTATGTTTAGTTGGCAAATCTATTTATTGTAATGGTAATTTCTTATATATTTTCATGATAATTTCCGAGAGTTATTTCATGTGTGTGTGTGTGTGCGTGTGTGTTTAAGACATGACAACATAACTATTGAGATGAAGAATATGGAGACGAGGAAAAGTGACCTAATTCGTTGAAGAGCACGTGGGCGGTAGCGAGGGTGGCGTGACCACACAGAGGCACCTCAGTCGTGGGCGAGAACCAGCGAAGGGAGAACCTGGAGCACCTCACCCACGGCTCCTCCTTCGCCGCCTCCTCCCCCACTGGACTCACGTAGGCAGTTTCTGACAAGTTCATCTCTCCCGCCAACTTTTGCATTAACTCCTCCTGTAAAGGCTAAATAAACGTTCTTATTTAAGTGTGTGGAACATAGTCTTAATTTGTTTTCATTTCCTTACATACAATGATTAATATTTATGACTATCGATAATAAGCCTTCCATGCGAATTTTAAATTAAAATTAAGTAAAAAAAAAAATCATATTATTGTACAAAAAAATCGTAAAGGCAATATTTTGTAAAAACTAAAATAATATTTTCTACGATAAGTTCAACACATCTTACCTGTAACAGTGGTACCACCGCTGCAGGGTTGCCAGAGAAGGGATGATCAGTGAAGGCATCCACTGTAAAGATTGACACCTTCATCTCTGAAATAATCAAATGCCCAATTCAGATAAATTGTAAATAATTCTCAAAAATACTATTAGTACAGTACTAGAATTTAAGTGTTTTTAATACGTTGCAGCCACTAAGCTCCTGCGTTCAGGCAAATCACGTTAAAAGTATAATAATATAGTGGTAAGACTGAAGTACAGCATAAGAGTTCTACTGAGAAATTGTAAATGGTTGTGAACAGTACATGATCTAGTAATACAATGATGCTATACTACTTGCGTTAAGAGATACAGAAATACTCTATAACTGAAGAGCATTTACTGATGTATGTAGTTCAGGATCTCAGCATAGTTGGCGCCGCATTACCTCATTTAGTTTCGATACGGATTCGTTTGGAAGGAGACACAGAATTTTTGGGATAACTGTGTGATTCGGGTCAAGACTCGAGGAGGATATTTATTAATATGAGCCGAAGACGCTACTGGTGAATGATAAGGAGTGCTAATATCATGGTTACTAAATGTGTGTGTGTGAGTGTGTGTGTGTGTGAGTGTGTGTGTGTGTGTGAGTGTGAGTGTGTGTGAGTGTGAGTGTGTGTGTGTGTGTGTGTGTGTGTGTGAGTGTGTGTGTCCAGTTACCTGTATATCACAGCGTATAATCATTGGGGAAGTGGGATGTGTGACAACATAAACCAGAGGGAACATAACATCAAGCTTAGGTAACCTAAACAGTATTTATGTTGAAAACTTACAAAAACCGATCCATCATTCATATGAAGATAGGAAACGTTTCTTATAATGGACTTCATGGTAGGAATTTACCGAAAACATTGCGTCAATTAACAAAATACTGGCAGCGGATATTACGTCACTTCCCTGTAAAGAGGGATCATCATCAAACATAATTATATACTGTTCACTTTTCCTTACCTCACTATATTATGTTATTTGCTTCTTGTTGGGCAATAGGCACCCGTAATGCTTCGTTGTTTCTCCTTCCATAGGATCCAAGGAAGTGCCCAAGAAACTAGCTGGTCCCACACCTACGTAGGGCAAATCTGATTCTGCCAAGCCTGTTTGACGAGTTTCTGTTTCCCTGCTAACTTATGTGTATAAAAATCTTAACACTATATATCCAAATATTGATCGCTATTCTATCTTCAATGAGGTATTTGACACATACTTTAGAGTGTTTATAATCACATTACACTTACCTGACAACAGTTGGTGAACGCGTTCCCTCGCTGCCAGGTGTGCTGCGTGAACACCACACTACTACTACTACTACTGTATGTATTTGCAAGGCCTGGCTGTCTCAACCAAGCGGCATCACACATCTGGCAGCAGCAATCAACACGGTGTTGTAATCAAAGCTGCAGATAGAAAATAATACTTTAAACATCATATATCACGCCTTTTGTCATATTGTATTTATTTCACTGCCTCTTGCCAGTGTGAGAGGAATGGTGGGGTCAATGCCCAGTGCCCAGAAGGTTGATCCCTTCTTTACTAACTTACTAAAAACCAAGGGAAAATAAACAGGAAGCCCAGGGGCGGATTCAGGAATATCAAAAGCGGGATCCAAAAAGTTGTGGGTCGGGGAACAATCATGGCGAGCACAGCGAGCCCATCAAGTGAAGGGGGAAGTGGGGGGGGCGCTATAAGCCCCCCGGAAATTTTTAGAAATCTGACCAATATTATGGGCATTTTGAGACCATGTGCACTGCTATCCTTCACTGGCCAAGAATGACCTCATTTTGACTTGGTTACCATCACTCCAGGGCACATTTGATTATACAAAAATGTGTATAAAATTGAAATTGTTATCGCCGCTGGCTTCAACTACAGTGCTGGCGTTGCCTTACCCGAAAAAACATTCAATCTATCAGCCTGGGACCACGGCGCCGCGCCGCCCACGCAACCTGCACAAACAAGATGCCCTGATTCTGGGGAGTGTATGGTTTAAAGTGTGGTGTGGCCGTCTGGCCTCCATGAGGCAGATCACCTTCTCAAGTGATGCTGTGAGGACCCTGCAGCCACTGCTGTGAGGACCATGCAACTCTGAAGATGTCTTGAAAAAAGACGAAACCTAGGTGTTCCGTTGTTTCCCTTTTCCCGTGTGATTTTATCAAGGCATATATATATATATATATATATATATATATATATATATATATATATATATATATATATATATATATATATATATATATATATATATATATATATATATATATATATATATATGTGTGTGTGTGTGTGTGTCTGAAAAAATCGTTTAGAACACTAACGTGTACTATCCGCCCAGCAACTCGCCTACCAATCAACTAAATATATCTTAATAAAGATACTATATGACATGTCACGCTTTACAGCATTACCAGTCATGCACAGTAAATGCATTTTTATTTTCCTTCATATAATAACAATTTTAAATTATAGTTATGCACTGTACTGGCTTTTTGTTTATTATTTGGTTAAGAACTAAACAAGCTAACAATCTAATTTGATTGTTATATAGAGTCAATAAAGATGTAATTACTTTGTCAGTCGTTGTCGCCAAGCGTTGCTACCATCCACCACCACTTTATAATCAAGGTTACGTCGTGCTTCTGGCAGCTGGAATAAATGAAAGGTATTAGCATAGATTTACGCTTTCTGTGATAAACAGCGATTAACACTTTAATCATAACACCGTGACTGTTCGTATAACCATTGTATTGCATGAATATGAAAAGTAAAATATAATATTACATCATCGCGAAAATAAAATGCACCCAATATCTACAGCACATGTCTGCCCTCTTACAGTGAGTGGGAGAGAGCAAGGGTTGGCTGTGAAGCTTGTCGAACATCTGGCATCCATCCCACTCCCCACTCCCCAGTAGCCAGGTTACAGCAAGGGACGTTGGATTGCGGAGGAAGTACGAGTGAAAAACCATGGGAAAATTCGCAGGGCGTCGTGCATTAGTGACAGGTGCTGGGGCAGGGATCGGCCGTGCATTGGTTATCAAGTTGGTGGAGATGGGTGCAGAAGTCTTTGCATTGAGCAAAACTGCCGCCAACCTTGAATCTTTAAAAGCAGAATGCCCTGGTGTCAAGACTATCTGTGTAGACCTTAGTGACTGGACGAAAACAAGGGAGGCGGTGCAGAAGATCATCCCAATACATCTTTTGGTAAATAATGCAGCATTTGCTAGCGTAGGTCCTTTCCTGACGGCTTCTCCGGAGGTATTTGACCATATGTTCAGTGTTAATGTGAAGGCTGTAATGAATGTTTCCCAAGTGGTAACGGGAGATCTAGTGGCGAGGAAGCAGCGAGGAACTGTGGTCAACGTATCATCACAGGCGGGTCAACGTGCACTCGTGGACCACGCTATATACTGTCCTACCAAAGGGGCATTGGATATGCTTACGAAGGTCATGGCATTAGAACTGGGGCCGAAGGGGATCCGTGTGAATGCTGTCGCTCCAACTGTGGTCCTGACGGCCCTGGGACGTATTGGGTGGTCTGACCCTGCCAAAGCCGGACCCATGCTGGCCCGAATACCCCAGGGAAGGTTTGCTGAGGTGGAAGACGTGGTGAACGCCATCGTGTATTTGCTGTCTGACGAGAGCGACATGGTCAATGGTCATATTCTCCCTGTTGATGGCGGCTTCTTGGCTGCCTGATTCATCACTGCTGCGGGGGACCAAGTTCTTATATTTATCATTCCTAATTCATATTTCCTGTAAAAAATTATATTAATTCAAATAATTATAGATATTTTAAAGTTTTACTCCTCAAAACCTTTATATAGATTACTGAAAATGGAATAATATTGATGAAAAGAACGAAACGCTCTCTTCTACGAGGCTTTTGTTCACTCAATTATGTCATCTAAAACAGGAAGCTCGGAATAAGTTAACCCATAAGTATAAACAGGAAATAAACATACACCTCCCCCCCTCTATAGTCTATATCCACAACACACACCTCCCTCCCTCTACCCCCACAACAAACCTCCCTCCCCAATCAACTATGCTGGTGATATTCTTGTACATACTAAAACTCGTCGTGAAATAGAAACGACCCTGACCCATGTACACGCAGCCTGTGAGAATCTCGGTCTTATTATCTCCAATGATAACCGCAAACACGGCCCCGCCAAGGTCAAGACAGGTAACAACACTATTGCCTGTCTCTCTTCTTTTAAATACCTTAATGTCTCCATTCCTTACCTCTAATTTATTTATTTTTATTTTTTGTTTAATACAATTCACTAGGTATTCCTTGAAATATATATTTTTTTATTTATACAGTACTGTATATTTGATATACAGTACGTACAGGGTATTAACTTGAAGAATTATATTCTTTGATTAAATTTTTTTTCCAACTTGTCTTGGGTACAAGTTCTTTGAAATCTGACAAGTTCCCATACCTATACAGTATTGGTCCTATTGATAAACAGGCAATGTATTATAGTTTACACCCTTAGTGGAAGTAATAAACTTGCATGAAGTACTATGTAGGAAACTTTTTTCCAGAAACTACGTGCTACCCAGCAAATACAGGAGTCATAAATTATCACATCTTGAGAAATGCAACAATATAGTGTTTTTTATATCCGAGGTCTTTGATTCAAGTTTGAATCATTGACCAACATTTTCATGAATATATGAGTGTGATGAGAAATGATGCACTAGATAGCTGGGTCACACCAACAATAAGGAGACTTATCACATGTCCCAACAGGATGAAACAATTGCATTGAGACAGAATGTGAAAAGGATTTGGGTGTGTATGTCGACAATGAACTAAAGTTCTCGGGCCATTGTGAGAAGAAGGTGAATCAGGCAACGAAACTAGTAGGTCTTATAAGAAGGTCGTTTAGATATCTGGATAGTCCGTCGCTCATCACGATCTTCAAGAGAGAAGTACTGTAACCCCGTCTGGTCCCCGAGGTATGCTAGAGACTGTTAATTGATTGAAAATGTCTTCTCTATGGAACCTCAGTTACCCAGAGATTAGAACACCTGCAACTGCCTAACTTACATTACAGACGGGCAAGGGGAGACCCAATCAAAGTGTATAAGCATCTCAGGGGGGCACTATTTAGTCGAATGTACAGTAGCTAAAACAGCCATCTGTGCAGGTGGGGGTCGATATGCTCCGAAATTTTACGTGTGACAAGTGACAGCCCTCATATACCAAAATTTATCGTCCATGGTCTTATATTATTTCCCACAAAGTATGCACAGATAGTTGTTTTTAGCTACTGTACATACAGTACCTGGAGCTGGCGGACAAGGTTGAAGAAGCCACAAGACCAGATACTGTGAGGGCAAACTTTTTTGGAGTGAGAATTGTGAACTCTTGGAACAATTTGCCAGTGTGTTGTGACTGAACTGAGCGTGAGCTCTTTCAAGGCCAGACTTTACCAACACTGGAGCAGGTTCCGATATATTCAGGAGCCAGAACATGCCTCGTACTTGCCAACAGTGGTAGTGGTACGTGTGAGTGGGAGCTCCGTGTTTTTCGTCCCAAAACAGGGTCTTTCCAGGAGTACCCAGTCTGATTTCTAGGAAATCTGATTCGTGAGTGACTAGTGAGTGTCGTGACAAGTACAATATTAACGAAATGAGGTAGATTTATTTTCTTTTTTTAGATTTCCCCCGAGGGGGCTAGTTTATTGGGCACCCCCTTACATCCTGTGCAAGGTGAAGCACATAAGCGTTTATAGTGCCCATCTTGGAAGCATGCAGAGTTCATGCTTGCCTTTATGGCTCATGCATTAAGGGCGTAAAAGCCTGAAGGGTCATGGGTTTTGTCAGCAAGTTACATAAAGTGACAGAATGATGAGTGTGGGGGGAAATTTCCATGTACAATTTATCTGTTTATGGCAAAGCGTGGCAGGTCCCTAATAATGTCAAGTGCCAGGCCATAGCCATAGGCATTGACAATATTGAGGGACATACCTTTTAGTGTGATTGTGATGGCGTGTACGTCGGTAGTGTCGGCTTCAAGGGAGAAGTCGAGAGATTGGTAGGGGACGTCCTTCTTGGCGTAGATACGTAGTCCACTAGCATGCCCGCATGGTGGTCAATTGATGTGGAGAACTGGAGTGGATGGGCCCCAGGTGCCGGTGGGGGACGGGGAGCCGGGGGTGGTGTCCTCGGGTCCTTGAGTGCGCGGTGGGTGGACGGGGGCAGCCAGGCACGGGGCAGGCTCGGTGTGGACGCCAGCAGTGGTGCCAGGTGGCGGTGGAGTAGGCCGTAAGCATGAGGGGCACACAGGGGGGCTACCAGGTTGTGTCAAACCAGAAGAGGGGGGTGACTGGGTAGCAGCTGGAGGCAGGGGTAGTCTGTGTAGGTTGGAGATGGCAGTACAGAGTGTATCAAAGAGTCTTTCAATACAGTTGGTAAATTCGTGTAAGAGGGATATGATCTGTGTCATGTCACAGGAGGGGGGTTGTGGGAGGGCACAAGGCCGACAGTGTCAGAGTAGAGACAGAGAAGAGATCCAGTTGTAGTTGAGTTAGGAGACGGCCGGGACTGCTGTGTTGCAGCCAGGTGAGGCCAGGCAGGGGCAGGTGTTGCTGAAGAAAGCGTTGCTGGAGATGGAGGGGACGCAGAGGGATGTGGCTCGGTAGGCTGGGGGAGAGGTTGAGGTTGACGCAGCCTTCGGGGAGGCTTTTCTCCTGGGACAGACGGACGTTTGGGGCATTGTCGTGAGTCAGCATTGTGCCAGCCACCACAATTACAACACCTGGGGTCAACAACACCAACCCCATTGAGGTGGTCTTTGATTTTTTGGGCACAGACGGAGGAGTAATGGTTACGTGAACAGAAGCGACATCTGGGACGATCACGTCGGCAGCAGGCGGTGAAGGTATGACCCCAATGGGAGCAGATGACACAAAAAGCAGGCCCTGGGTGATATGGTTCAGCATACAGTTGGGGGAGGACTGGGTGGGCCTCAACAGTGGTTGGGCACTCCCTCTCCTTCCATTTAACTATGACAGCTGCTTGTGGGGTCTTCCCTCGGTAGTGTCGACATATACTGAGTACACGTGAATTAAAGTTACGAGCATCTTCGACTTCAGAGTATAGGGGGAGCTGTTTAACTAGGATGTGGCAACATTCCACTGCGTAAGCAGATGTTGGCACTAGGACAACCCCGTCAAATCCAACAGTAAGTGTTTCATAGACCTCGGGTGTCTGACACTTGATAAAGTTATGGTTCTTACCTTTTTGGAATTAATTGGTGAGACCGTGTTGTCTCCAATACTTTGTTGTCCAATTAAACTGTTCCTCGACGGTTTTCAAGTGAGGTGTAGGCCCACCAAGCTCCCCTCAGTGCCAAGGCTTGTAATCTGAGCCCTGTCCACCCTCCCACCCAGCTGACCACACAACTAGACCGTCTCCATACTGCCAGCTACTCAGCCCTCACAAGCTCCAATATATCTAAGTTGGCTGCTAGTATCAAAAATTCAAATTTCACGAAACAACAATTGACTGATGTGATAATGTAAGTCCAACGGACTCTCATACAGGACAGCATACAACAAATGAATAAGGAGACCATCAGGAAGCTAGAAGAGGCTGACCGGCATTGCACTGACCAGATAAGTGAGATTAAAAGAAGCTTGGATTTCTCGCAAGGGGAAATAAGTGACTTACAAGCAATGTTAAACGTTGAAGCTAAAGAGAACCGAACACCTAAGACCCAAGTTCAATAGCTGAGTGAGGAGAATTCCAAGCTCTATCCTCTTTTCAACCTTATTACTGTACTGTACAACCCATGTTATACTGCTCCCCCATTATACTTATGTTTTTCAATTCCACTGTAATTTATGTATATGCTTAGAATATAAATAAACAATAAGAAACTAAAAAAAAATAATAAAAAAATAAATAAAATAAATAAATATTGAAGTGATTACTGTGGTAACATTATGAGATGTTCTTATTACCACCATGCTATTGTACTATTCCAGATGATACTAAATGTTACATAATACTTCCTTGAGATACTGTAAATGTATAGTATATATGAGGTGCCTAAAAGAGAGCTCAGGTTCTCAACTGGCTCAGCCATGTTAATATTGTTATTATTATCCACTCTGTATCTGTGTTTTTCTGGCTAAATAAACTGTTTCAATTCAATTCATGACCGACCACCCAAGCAGCTAACGAGGCGATCAGTGACGAAGAGGATAAAAGTAAAGAATTAAGTGAAAGTAATAGATTAAGGAATGGGTGATTAGATAGATATAAATAGCTAGATGAATGGAGAAAAATAGAGAAGGGAGTTAAAAGGAGAAATAAAATTAATTGAAGGAGAGAGAAGTAAGTGAGGGAGAGGGGGGGGGATGAATAAGTCTACCAATAGTAAGAAGGCACATCAGCTGCTCCAAATATGTGGAAGAAACATCATTTACCGAACCCAATTGTGTAAAAGACCTCAGTGTTTATGTTGACAATAAACTGAAGTTTTTGTTTCAATATGAGAAGGTGACTCCTGTAAATAAACTGGTAAAGCTTATACTGTCCAAAAATCTTACTCATATCTAGATGGTGCTCCCCCACTTTGGGTACTGTACTGTCTGTCCTTTGATTTGGTCTCTAGGATATGATAAAGATTGCCAGTTGATTGAAAATGTCCAAAAGAGCACCATCAAACTGGTGCCTGCATTTAAGAACTTCTCATACTTAGAGAGGGTAGAATGCCTTCAAATGCCATGTTTAATAGCACTTTAGTAAGTCAGTCTCACTAAAGGTTACAGCCTCAAGTTAAAAAAGTCACAAGTACAAAAAACTATCAAGAGTGAATTTGAAGTAAGAGTAATGAACTCTTGGACTAACCTGACACAAAATGTTGACAACACAGACCATGAGCTTGGTTAAGATAAAACTGGATCAACACTGTGGCAAATGAGCAGGTACATTCAAAAGCCTGTTCATGCTGAGCACTTGCTAACAGTGCATAATAGAGAAATGACTAACTGCCTAAAGAGCCAACAGTGGCACAGAGGATATGTAAGTAATTAATATAGTATTTACCAAGTTTTTATTGCAACCAAACTGGAACCACATGACAAATATTTTTAAGACTAGAAATTGTTCATCACCTCTCTGAACTGTCATACACCTACCCGGTATGCAATTTATAAAACTAAGAAATCATAAATTTTGAGATGAATCAGCCTGAAGATCAAAAATGTAAAATAGTATGTATTGTATAGTTAATGTTAAATTTATGCCATCTTTGCTCAACAAAGAAAGTTTCACTTACATGAAAGCTAAAAAGTGAAAGCTCTGATTTATTTATAACTGTTGTGCTAAAAAATCCAAGATGAGACTTTTAATATGATACATGAGTTAATTCTCATTGATGACCTGAATGTTGTTTAAGAAACACATTTTTTTAGCCCATGCCATCTATTCTTTGATAACTACATTTAAGCCATGATAGATCACGCATCTAGAATTTTACAGTGTCTTCAGGGAAAAGCTTACTGACAAAAATCCTGGGTGGTATTGTATAAGAAAACTGAAATAAATCATGTTTTTAGCAACACTACACGCCACAACCACAATAAAAGCTCAAGGGTCTCTTTATATAATTCATTTTTTAAATCTTATTTAATATTGTATCTAGAATTAGAAAAAATATTTATGAGACTTAATGAATTACCCTTCCACCACCAGTGCATTATACTGTAGTAGCACTATTATACAGTACGTAGTAGACATACATAAAGCTGTGAGTATAATATAAGACAAATGGAATATCTTCAAAGTTCATCTTTAGAGACGACAGATTCTGGCAAAACAAATCTGCCAGCAAACAGAATTAGTCCGGATTGTTGATCTCGTATGTAGAACAAGAATGGATGGTCAGCAATAAATTCGACAGGGATACGTAAACATCTGGCCATCATAATCATACCTGAAGAAGGAAAAATAATTAAAACATAAAACGAGCAGAGGAAAATTCTACAATTACCTTCGGTCCTTAAAACGTGACCTTAGGAAAACTTGGCTACCGCTGTGTGAGTACAGTACAGTACAGTACAGAACCTGAGAAAAATATCTTAAAAATAATAGTGTATTCAAGAATTAAGAAAATTAAAAAATTCTCATATCCTTTATCGTCCTTTGTTTTCCCGAGGTGGGGCTATATGTGAGCGTGTGGTTACACCCCAAATTTGGATCACCGAGATGTTTGAATGGGGTGGGAGATGCCCAGCTGTTCAAATAGGAGGTGGAGAAAGTAATCTTTGTCAAGACTGCAAACATCTCACCTCAGACTTCATTTTGCTACTGTTGGTGTTTCTCGTGATGGACCTTTGTCAAATGATTTGCTTCACTCTTGCATTAATCATGTCGCTCAATATCAAGAAACAAGTTATTGCAATTGTAAAACTAGCAAATAAGAGAAGAGTTTATATACAATGGGTGACCTGGTAACAGACATAATGTTTCTTTCTTAACTCTATTTTCTATTTATTCTTTAATTTACTCTATTTCTTTCTCAATATTTTCTTTTTATTTCTTTACATGATTTCTCATACCTTACCTCATATTCATATTCTTATTTACTTAAACAATTATGGAGGGTGCATGACAGAGATTTATCAAGGGTAGATGCTCTCCGCAAAGGCAAATATGCAGTGGATCCCTAACTTAATGGCTCGTGTCGTTGGCGTTTTACACCATCGTCAGAATTTCAACCTTAATCAAACTGGTTGTTAAAAATTGCCAGTACATCCATATATGTAACCGTTTTTATGATAAAAGTAACATTTTAATATTTAGTGTGATTTGTGCCTTGTGTGATACATTTTGTTATAAAGCTTCATGCAAGATTCAAGGAGAACAGAAGAGCAAAGCGTACAAATAATGCTACCAGAATAATGACCTCATTAAGGCTGGACAAATCTACCAGTGAACAGTATCAAGCCCGAGTGATTGTCCCGGATGAAGAAGCAGAAGGGATGATCAACCAAAATTATTATATCTGGTCGGTAACAAAGGGTTTGCAAGACAGAAGCTGAAAAGAGAAAAAGTTAATTTTATTTATTTTTATGGAAGAAGGATTCATATTCAGGCATCCCCCGGGTTACGGAAATTCACTCTTACGGATTTTGTGAATTATGACCAATAAATTCGGGATACGGACAAAAAATTCGCCATTACGGAAATTGGGTAAATTTTATTTATTTTTTCAATACTATTAAAAAAAATTCACATAAATTATAAAATTTATTTAGTGTGGAATTGTTGGTGGTTGCTACAATACTGTACAGGGTGAGGCAGGAGCCAGAAGTACCCCTCCGTCTCCCTCCTAGTAACTCAGATTGCACCACCTTACCTCACCACCTCACCTAATGCAGCACTCATCATCATTTGTGGTAAGTTAAATTCAAGTGCTTTGCATATTTATTACCATATTATATTACAAAATAATCAATGTATGTGTTAAAAAAAATTATTTTCATTCATAAATGTCCTTGTTTTACGTGTTTTTTCCGAAAATATTTCCTTGGGAACGCCTCTCCAATCATATAATGGAAGTCAATGGGAAAATTGATTTTGCGTTACGGAATTTAAAATTACGGAAAAATTTTCAAGGACACATACCTTCCTTAACCCGGGGGGTGCCTGTACTGTATTACAGTTGGTGTACAGTATAATCCCACTAACAAAAATTTTGTTTGAAAGTCCTGTGTAGTACTGTACAGTATACCCTTAAAGCTAGTGGGGGTCAGGTAAAATGGATCCCATGAGAAAACAAAATCCTCGAATTTATCATGCCGGTTCCCAGAGTGTGCAAAATACAGGTCACATAAATAGCTATACTGTATGCATGTGTATAACAACATTATGTACTCATATCCCTTAAACTACAAGGGTTTAAGCAGCGCGGCCCTCGCCTCTCCACGAATTGCACTAAGGGTTGCACGGGGAGCAAGGGAGGTTGTGTACTGCGTCTGACAACTTCCACTACTGGCTGTGAGGGGTCTATGATCTTTACTGCTCTCCGCTCTGCCTTAGGGAGGGAGGGAGGGGGTAATGCATGGTGCCATTGTTACATATAATGAAACTATAACAGTTGTGGAAAATCATTTCAATACTCTAATGTGACTTAGATATAAAGAAAATATGTAATACTATAAAATAACAAATAAAAAGAGCATGGGTGTGTATTTTGTATGGGAGGTGATCATAGGTGTGGAAGCAGTGAGAAGTTTGCTAATAGTGCATCTGGCAACAACTGGTTAGGCCTATTTCAGTTTAAATGCCACCACACACCCAACTCTGCTATAAGTATACCTGAACACTCACCATTCATCCTGGATCTTCTTGCTATGATGACAATGATGATTAGTACAGCACCCATATAATGAATGAAGAGATGATGATGGACATAAAACATACCGGTAATCATAAACATGAAATTACATGATTAAATATCTGTAAACATTAAATAACACTTACTGTACTGTACTGTATTGTAGTGTTGACTCCTTTTGATCCCTGGCAACTCTCCCTCTGCCATGTGACCCCCTGCTAACTCTCCAAGACATAGGTAAGGTGAATGATGCTGATGCTAATGATGATGTTTCATGATACTGTCTACTAAGTATTCCAAAGAGTAATCTCCCTATTAACCAGAATCTTCAATCCTTGGAACTTTCCATTAGTACCTGGATTTATTATTTTTTTAGCATTCCGAGGAAAATATCTCCATTCTGGGCATTCAAACAAAATTCTGAGAGACTGCACCATGTGCCGAGCACGTGGGTTAATCAGACTCAGAGTGCTTGTGAGCTACAATTGGCTACTATTGTCATGTGACTGCACGGGATGCCTATAGTCCAAGAGCAATGGGGGTTTTAATCACCCATCAAAGGCCACAAGGTCTGATAGTATTTTTGAATTGTACTTTATATAGTTATGTCAAAACATCATTACTTAATTGTCACAGCCTGGACAATAATGTATGGGAGAGGGTTTAAGATCAGTACTGTACTGCATCATGGCGTTTTTGATGATGCTGCAATATAACTTTGCTTTAATCACAGATATGGTGATTTATTTGGTACACAAGTGTCAATAACAACTTGGAACCAAATTTGCGAACTTTAACATAACATCATCATCCTGGATGAAAGTGAGTCAGGATATATCCTAGAAGTAAAACATCATGACCTGCAAGTGAGATGCAGGGTTCACATTTAAGTGCTTTGTACTGTCTTTCTTCAGGTATTACATGAGCTTTGACCTCATAGATTTGGTGGAAACATATATGAATTCCTAGGGGAAGAAGTCTGGGCATGAAGAATGCCTTAAAGTTTCACTGCTTAGATGCTGGGAAGAGAAAAATTAGAACAAACCTGTAGCTGCAGCAGCTTCACTTCCCTGCTCATTGACCTCCAGGAAAGCCTTGTGAATTACATTAGAAACATACAACTCTTTGGTGCCTGTTATTCCAGACAAGTCACAACTGTTTTCATCAAACAGGTCCTTCATACCCATCTGAAAAAGAGAGAAAAAAGATGAAAGTTTCTGAATTAATCATGAAGTTTCTCATTTACACTAGGTGAGGATGTCCCCTCCCACGCTACCCCCCCGCACTGGGAGAGCTGTTTACGATAAAAATATCTGAGACTGGGGCACTCCACCAGGAGGTGTCGAACAGTCAATGGGTCTGCTCAGGTGGTACGGTTAAGCAGAGAGAATAGAAATTGAATGAATGATAAAAAGTAGAATTCAAGTTGAGAGGAAAATAAATATTACACATACCCAAAAGCAATTCTCCTCCAAGACTACTTACCTCACTCAAGTGATCAACCAGATCTAAAGATTCCTCCAGCTTGAATTTTGGTATGTATACATGCACCTCCTCTTTCATTAGCTTCTTGTCAATTTCATTCAAATCTGCTGCAGCCAGTTTGGCTTCAACCTCTACTAATCCATCACGCTTTTCAGGCAGCACAAACACCATACTCAATCTTGACCCCTGAAAAAGTATAAATACAAAAAATACAAAATGGTTAAAGTTCAAGTCCTGGTACATGTATCAAACTTCCCACTTTCTGATTAGCCCAACCACCTATTTTTTCCTGATGAATACAAACAGTTAAGTTACTAAATACTGTAGAGATTTATACTTAAAAATCTTATCATAACAAAGAACACTCATTCTTTTTCTGCATTATCTGATCTGTACTATATTTAATGATGCTTTTGACATATCAGTGAGTAGAAAAACACAATGTTGAATTGCAAAACTTTGCATTTATTTTCCAGCTAAAACCACATAAAAATCAAATTCCGAATCAGCAAAAAATAAGTATACTGTACTTAAGTGCTGTACTGTACACAGTTTTTTGTAAGTACAGTACAGTACTGGGGGCCCCCCAAATTCGCGGGGGTTAGGTTCTCAAAATGGCAGTGAATGACCAAATCCGCAAATAACATTTGCGGGACCGGGGGTGTACATATTTACTTGTGTAAAATTTATATTCCCTTTATGTGTTTGCCCTTAGGACAATTATTTCTTTTACCTGTGTTGTATAAATGTGTGTGTGTGTGTGTGTAGACACACACACACACACACAAAACACATACAAATAATAATACTGTACCCTGTAATGAGAAAATACTCTCACAAATAATCAGGGTTTTTTTATTAAAAATGTGAGTCTACCCTCAAGTCCATGCTTTATTAATAAAGTAATAAAGCACGAACTTGAAGGTAGACTCTCACATTTTTAATAAATTTGCTTCTGATTATTTGCGAAAGGATTTTCCAATCATTATTTATTTGTCTGTGTTTAGTGTGTGTGTGTGTGTGTGTGTCTACACACACACACACACATATTTACAATACAGGTAAAGGAAATTACTGTCTCTAGAACAAATGGCTCCCTGTTCCAGCTGCGAAAATGACGGCAACTTTAAAACTACCCACAGACATTCTTGGGTACATCGAGGGTGTCATCCGCGAATAATAGAGGACCGTGAAATAAAAATCCGCAAACTTGGGGGGCCCTTGTACCTTATTTCACGACTTATTCTGAGCAATATATAAACCACTAATTATAATATTTTATCATAATATTACTGGCAGCAATTCAATAATGTGCAGTGAGCTGGTACACAAGAGGTGCAGTGGTGTAAATAGCAGACTGCAGGATATTGCTGATTTTAACCCTTTTGATATGGGTTGCCACTTTTGATATTCTATTTAACTAATGCTAGAAAACTTCAGTCAGCAAAGAGCCCCTTATACCCAAGGGGTTAAGTGTGGTTTTTGTGGCATTAGGAAGGCTGGAAAAACTTGACAATGGGGATAGCTATATGCTTGGATTGTGTTAATGATCAGCGCTGGAGGTGGTGCTAAAGCTAACTCAGTTGTATGAGCCTGAAGTGACTGGAAAAAGGAAAAGTTTAGGGAAATGTTGCCTTTATTGACAGCAAGAGAACCTTGTCTTCAGCTTATGTAGCTGGTATAAAGCCTAGTACACATCTGTTGACATGTCATGTGACACGGGAAGTCTGTCTGACAGTGTCAATCAGGCTTGCAGATGAGTTGTACAAACCAGCAACTATCATTCGTTGTCTGTCCATGGTGTTGAAAGCAATGGCACCAGTTTATGAAAGCTGCTACGTGGAGTGTGGTGGTTGATTGTGCAATAAAAAAGAGAATAAGAATGAAGAAAAGAACATTGTGATATAAACAGTGGTTAATGAAGAAGCACTCCAAGGGAAGTTTTAAGCACATATTTAATGAGCTTGCTTTTGAAAGTGATAAAGATTGTTAAAATTATGTCAGAATGCCAGAAATGGTCCTTTATTCTATGCTTGTAGTAAAACCGCTAACAGAAAGACAGGATACTAGATTCAGAGAGAGTATTTCAGCAGGAGTACATCTCGAAGCTGTTTAGTATCTAGCAACTGGATGCTATTAAGCAAGTTTGCAATATTCTACATGCATTTCTAAACAAAGTCTGACTGCAATCATTCCAAGTACTCAAATACTCAAAGACAACTTCATCCTGCATGGACACTGCGAAAGTGGGTGTACAGATAACCTCTCGCTGTCGAGCCACTGACAGTTGTGGCGTCCTGATCGCGTGGTGATCAAACAACAGAAAAACCATCATTGATCAGGCATGAACACCAATTTGTGTCGGAAAGTGGCTGTTTGACAGTCACGCCAGATGGTATGTTGACATGTGTACTAGGCTTAAAAAGAGTGTTGGTGTAAAACAGTGAAATGAACAAATATGATATATGTAGATTACAGTGACCTGAAATGAAAATGGTAAGATGGATGTGTAAGGTAATGTTGAAAGACAGGAAACTCAGTTAAGAGCTAAGAGGATGGTTGGATATTGAGGGGTACTGACAAGGTTTAGCATAGAGTAGGCTGAGATGGTTTGGGCATGTGAAGAGAATAAAGGAGACCAACTAGGTCAAGAGATGCATGAGTTTCAATGTGGAAGGGAGGAGAGTTAGGGGTAGGCAAAGAATGAGATGGGGAGATTGTTAGAAATGACATGATGGGGGAGGTTGCAAAAGATCATGCAGCTTGAAGAGTTGCAATCAGGTGACATGACAAACCCACACAAGAGTGAAAAATGGCTGCAAAATGATGATGAGGATGAAGATTCCCATTTGACCCCACTTTGGGTACATCCATATGACAGAAATTGCTCTACTAAAGGTAAATTAGATTTTGTTGTAGCATTCTCAAGAACAACACTTCATTCCAACAGGTTTAATTAACAAAAACATTTAAGAAATTACAGTAGTTCTGCTGACCAGATAAGACATCTAACTGACTGATGGCTGCAGTTGAACCCTTTAATAAATCTGGTTGTCCTATAAACTCAATTGTCCTATAGGATGAAGTCTTATAAGGTGATATAATAACAGCTCCTGATTCATAAATGTAGGAAGAGGAAGTTATATTCTTATCCATGTCTCAAATTACATTCATGATATACAACAACATCAACAACAAAAGAAATACTAACCTTATAGTCCATTGCCAGAAGTGTTGCTCCAAGGTCTTTGTTGTGCAACATACGAAAATGATCCTTGATGTGCATCATTGGCACCTTGGTGCTCTCACTACCTGACAACCAAAACTCTTGGTCCTTTGTTTCTGATTCCTTAAACTGATGCTCCCACAGTCCCTTAAAGTAAACTGCATTGACCAACACCATTCTTGTCAATGCATTTAAAATCCCTGCAATAATAAAGAGAGTTGTATGATATATATATCCAATTAACTGTTAAAATGTGTAAAACCTAATATACTTTAATGTCCCAGGGCAACAGTAAGGACAAAGACCTCTGAAAATACTACGACAGTAGATCCATTATTAAAACACAAATTTTTTCTCAATATCTATCACCATAGCCTGAATAAGTTGTAATAAAATCGTCTGTATCTTGGTGCCATAAATTATTTATACTAGAAGCTCTAAATCACAGCACCATATCAGTAGAGGCTGAAAGAAATGAAATCACTGTGAATTCTGCCTGGTTGGCTGTCTAAAGCAAATTGAAGGAAGAAAATCATACCCTTTGCAAATTCATCTGAGGATTGCTAGTAAAGGCACCTGCAGCAGCTACCTGGGGTGTATCTGTTGCAACCTTTTGAAAAGTCCACATAAGTGTCCAATAAGAAGCTACATCACCCAAAAGGAAAACAGTGTGTAATAACATACATGCCTCTCACACCTTTGTTCTGGGGTCAAACCTAGCTCAGGTCAAAGGAGAGAAGGGTGTTATCCAGTGTGACTCTGCCAAACAACTCAAGTTTGATCAAAGTGTACTACAATTTCCTCCTGTACTAACAGTGGACAATGAAGGTTGTAAAAAGAGTACAGACCAACTGCTTACTAACTAGTAAGCTGAAAATAGTGAAAAAGATCAAATAAGATCAAATAATGACAAATAATAAGCATTTAAGACGGAAAAGAATGAACCAAGATTCCAAGATGTTAACCAAGAAATATGGAGCTAGAGAAAAGAAAGAAAAAATACAGGAGGTACTTTATTTGTGTTGGGGAGGAGTTTCTAGATAACATGAATTAAGCAAAACATGATAAATCAAACCTTATTTAACCACTGAAAAAAATACAGTGGGGTATGCTGTAACGAATCTAATTGGTTCTAGAACCTTGTTCGTTATAGCATTCGTTCGTTATAGGATTAATTCGTTCCAGGCCCCCAAATACAACCACTTAACACTGAAAAATATAATATAAAATTGTAAAAATTGTAAAAAAGTGCATAAATATGCATCTAAACCCCTGAAATAAAGAACATCATTAATACTTGTAATAAAAAAACAATAAATTATTAAAAAAATAAATAAATAAATAAAAATTTTTAAATAATGTTCGTTGTAGGAGTTTCGTTCATTATAGCATTCTCAATTTTATAGGTAAAACTGTTCGTTATAGGAATATTCGTAGTAGGATCCGTTCGTTATAGCATACCCCACTGTACTAATTCCACAGGGTCTTTGGGTCAAAAATTAAAAAAAAATAAATAAATAAATAAAAATACCCTGTAAAATAAAACTAATAATTAAATAAAAATAAATACACATATATGCACAAAACACAGCTTGCAGGAAAGGTTTCCACAGTTGAACCCAAGCCAATAATCTTTCTTAATGTCTTGATATACTACAGGTACCCTCGAGATACGAACATTCATGATATGAAAATTTGCTTATACGAATTACCTAAATTGATACAACTATTTCAAGAAACGAAAGCTTCCCCAGTTTATACGAATTTGGGTCTTGGCAAAAATTCAAATCGCACGCCCTAGGAGTCAGCCACATCCCCCTACCAGGCTGAGGTAGGAGTTATGTTATGATTATTTCTCAACTCGAAATTTTATGTATATAAACATAACTTTCTTCACATTTTATTCATTCAGTTACATACACACACAATCCAACATGAAGAATGTGTCAAAAAATGATTATAATGTCACAAACACAGAGGGAATACAAATTTCTTACATCCCTGGGAATCGTGGGATGGGAAGGGGGGTGCAGCGTCGGGGTGGTGTGAGGTAGTGGTGGTGATGGTGGGTGGTGTGAGGTAGTGGTGGTGATGGTGGGTGGTGTGAGGTAGTGGTGGTGATGGGTGGTGTGAGCTGAGTTATTATTATTTTTCAACTTGTAATTTCGAGAAGATGCTTTTTGAACTCGTATTTTTGGGTAGATATAGGTAATTTTCTCCATTTTTTTTCTTTTTACTCTGTTACATGCATACAGTACACACTCTTTATACAAAATGTGCAAAAAATAAAATATAATTATCATAAGGCTAATGTATGTACAAAATAAGAATTTTAATATTTCAAATCTGGGAATAATGACACAATATCATCCCTCATTCCTCTATCAGTACTATAATTCTATCACTAAAGCAATACCTACCCTTCCTCACCATTGGATGTTGGCCTCACTCTGTAATCAATTATCACCTCATTTAATTTTGTTATAGCTTTTTACTGTGCAACAAGTGGAGTACTGTACATGCAGTCATGACCATAACTAATAGCAGAACAGTACTAAATATAAAAATAAATACTACAGAGCAAAATTTCTGGAAGCATTTTACCAGCCGGGATAAGATCCTCGATGCGGGAGTTGGTTTCTTTTTTCACAACCGTGTTTATCTCTTGCCGTACTTCTTCTCCTTTGGCAAAGTTTACATTCTTCGAGGAGCTGAGGTATTTTTCCTTCAGGATGTTGGAAAAGTTACTCAGCACAGACATCTTGTCAGAAACATATGCCATATTGGAGGTCCTGAGTTCATAGTGAGCTACTTCAGTCTGCAAGAGATTTACACAAAGCTAAGCAATTCTACCTGCTGACTCATAAATCTCAAAGTCAAAAAGCAAATTCATTGAATAATCAGTTTTGCATTACGGTATTTTCAACATTAACTTAAGTCCTATTATTTTGGAGTGTTTTTAATTCAGAGAATGTCAGACAAATTTTGGGATTCCCACCTTCAGATCTGTAACAATATCTTGAAAAGCATTATGGATTGCTTCATTATCCTGGGACAAATGCATTACAGACTGCATCTCTTTCTCAGTATTACCATCTGCCCCAGCATAGGTCATTCCCAGGGCAGTCATAATACTGAAGGGTGAGAAGAACAAATTTCCAGAGCTTTTCTGGGCCAGTTTCTGTGAGTAAGAAAAAAATTTAGTTATAGTTAAAAGAATTTTTTTTATTTACTTTTAATTTTTTAGGGGGAATAGCCCACCCGGGCACAGGTCATCGACCCACAACGGGGGCTTGGGGGTGAAAAAATTAGAATAGAAAGAAATTAAAATAGAAAAGGATAGGGTTATATTAATCTACACCACGAAGATGCCGGAAAACCAGCTTTTTAAAGCGAGACAGATTGTATGAGAATGGAAACACAGCAGAAGGCAGAGCATTCCACAGTTTGGCTGTGTGAGGAAAGGAGGATGCACTATAACAGTTTATTCTAGTGTGACCGACATCCACAGAGAAACGGTGGGCACCGCAGGCAGGACGTGTGCTACGAGCCCACTGCCTTGCCGGCGGTACACAGGATGCCAAATCCACCGAACATTGTCTGTTAAAGTACCTGTAAAAGAGAGAGTGTGAAGCAAAATTGCGGCAAAGAGAAAGGGAAGAAACACTGTCAACTAAAGGGGGAGAGTTAACAAGACGAAGTTGCTTTTGATGGCTTAATAATGTAAAGCCAAACATCTATAATATGTTATTAATTTTGTAATTTGTTTATGTCATCAATGACTGGTGACTGGTGAACAAGAGAGTGTGAATTACAACAGCTTACTAAAAATATAAAACCAAAAACTGAAAATACTCGTACACAAAAGGCTTTCTGGAAAATTTTTGTTGTGTAGCAGTTAAGGACGAAAATAAAGCAGGGGAGGCATTGTTGAATTTGGGAAGCATGAAGGTTGTGTAAAAGTTTCCGAGTACCAACACAGGAAGTTAGAGCATCCTGCGACACAAAGGATGAGGGCATGACAGCTGGCACATCTGATGGTAATGCAGTACAGTACTGATGTTTTCTTTCCACATTAGTTTCTCATCTGTAATAATGCCAAGGAGTTTGGTGGATTGCAGAACCTGGAGGGTGTTAGGATCCAATGAGATAAAAGGAGGCATAACATGGTCAGTGGAAATACAGTATAAATGTGCATAATCACATGGCAGAATTTCAATTCTGGGAACAGCTTAGAGTGGACTGCGGGGCACTGGGGTCAGGAGAAAAGTTGTGAACACTGATACAAATGGTAGAGTTGCCAAACATACTTCCAAAAAGAATGAGTACTGTATCCTTCTGGGCATCATTAATGAGGTTGTAGATGAGTCTCATTTTTCTGCCCTGGGAGATGCCAAAAGAGTGATAAATATGTTATGGGTGACTAATTCAAAAGCTTTGGTGTTATCTATGACATGAGAGGTATGTGTATGCATGCATCGGTATGAATCATAGCTTACACACTTGAAGAATAAAATGCAGGGCAATTAAAAAACAAAAGTATCTAAAAACTAAGATCATAACTGGATAAAAATATGTACACACCCAAAGCTAACATTTCAAATAAAAAATGTGAAAAGGTCCTCCCAGGGTATTGTCACACAACAAAAGGTTGCTTGAACACTTTCTATGTATGCACATGGTACAGTACAACAAAACTGTTTCTGTGAGAGTGTCAGAGGTTTGCATGCTTACAAGGACTATGTACAAGAAGAAATTTGTCCCTTATGTATGCATATACAGTACTGTATATGTATAAGTAGAATGCTTATGAATTTCTGCAAACATTAGTTATGAATGCTTCAATTACCGGTACAGCAACTCATATGTTACTCACCATATATATATCACGAGTAAAGTTATTCTGACTGGCAGCAAGGGCAGTGACATTCTCCTGGTGTACATAAGCTGGGAAGCAAGGGGCCTGTGTGGCAACTGCTGCACGCTTCATCATTGCAAGGATTAAAAACACAACCAAGAACAATCTGAAAAGACAATCGCGCTTATTAGTTTCATGGAATGACACTGAGCAACAATATTTTACTGTTACAAGGTACCTTATCTTATTTTGGAACCACAATAAGTACTGTATAAGTATAGCACTACTTATTGTATGGAACACAATGTACTAGTGATATCCCCATTAGCCGGAATAATTGGTGCAGAGCTCTTTTATTCCGAGGATGAGAGATTTCACCATGTTGAATCCACCGACCACACACACACGTCTACACTTTAACACCTCCAAACACACACTGTTGATTTGAACTTGGTGTATAATGACGCTAAGTTTCAGCCATCAACTAGCTGTGCCTATGACGTCACTCTCAAAGGTCACAGTGATTGGCTTAGGGCCCATAGGACAACACATAGCGCTATAGGCAGCTTGGTGCGGGAACGGTCATGGCATAAAACTGAATTTATATCTAATTCACAAAAACATGACATTATATACTGTACTCTAAAAACACTATCACAACCCCTCTCCCTCAACAGCAAATGCTTAAATTCACGCTTCAGATTTCACACTTTAAGGGGAGAGGATTGACAACATTAAGTGGTAAACGCAGGAGTGGTGCTAACTGTATATTTCAAAGATCGTGCTTTACAATGTGAAAGGGTGTACCGAGACCCTTTGGGCTTCTTAACATAAGCGATGAACAATTATTGAGGATCTACATACAAGTATTTCCTCAATGTTGAAATTTTGAAGCTATGAAAGGAATTACAAGCTATTTAGGTCATAGGCTGTACAGACCCCCCTTTTCATCATAAAATTCAAATACTTTTCTTTAATGCAGTACTGTACCCAGACGTTTTTTTACCGCAAAAAATAATTACCATTGACCCCAGAATATCTCCTAATATCAAGTGCACATGGCCTTAAAACGCTGTGCTCGCCATGTTCCCCCACCCACAACTTATTGACCCCCCTTCTGATATTCCTGGATCCGCCCGTTAGGTTTATTTTATGTGAGTGCCAGGAGAACAGGTATTATATAAATCTGTGAGGGCAAACTTTTTCGAAGTGAGAGTTGTGAACTCTTGGAACAATCCACCAGAAAGTGTTGTGGCGGCACCGAGTGTGAGCTCTTTCAAGACCAGACTTGACCAATACTGGAGCAGGTTCAGGTACTTTCAGGAGCCGGTGCATGCCCAGTACTTGCCAACAGTGTGTAACAGAGACGTGACCGATCGCCCAAGTGGCTAACGAGCCGATCATTTGATGAAGAGGATAAAAGAAAAAGAAAAGTAACAGAGACGTGACCGATCGCTCAAGCGGCTAACGAGCCGATCAGTGGTGAAGAGGATAAAAGTAAAGTAATGGAGACTGGTGTGGTGGGTATATTATTCCTCTCCTATTGCTTTTATTGGAGTTATTAATGTCGCGTCTCATGATATTGCACATAATAGTTTATTATAATATAGCAATGACGATTCTAGGGACAGCTCATGCCATTCACCACAACCTTTAGCTTTAACTTATCCGAGGTTATGACGTGGTAATACGGCAACCGTTCGGTCACCACACCAACTACAACCATGGAAGACCAATACAGTAACGCGATATCTCCCAACGAGGGCAATTCGTTGGCATAGGTAACGCCGGGTTAAGTATCAGCGAGATCGCAAGGCAGATGAGAGTTTCGAGATCGCCAGTACGAGCAATGACAGCAACCTAGGCATGAAACGCGCCCTTTAAATCACAGAGTCACGTTAAAACTGTGGGCCCGTAGTTCCACCATGAAAGCTGTGTAAAATATAGTAACATTTTTGTTTAGTTTGTGGGAAATAGGTAATAAGTGTAAATAATGCCTTGAGAATTTTTTCTTGCCAGACGTCCTTAAATCGAGCCACGTAAAACAACTAAATTGTAATTTAAAAGTATTCAGTATCACATTTTCAATATTTTAAATCGAATTCAAGAAAAATTTGTATTTTTCTTGAATTCGATTTTCCTAGATATTTGTTTGTTTTCGAGCACTGCCAGTGTTTACTGTGACGGCCGAGAAATGAGTCAGTCAAATGACGCATTGGTTGTTCATGTGTACTGTAACAGGACACACTCAGAAACATGATAATCCTTAAAAAATGTTACAAGAAATAACACAAAATGTACTAATGTGACGCCGCAAATAAGACCTGCTAATGTTATGCTTGATTTAACTCTCAGATCAATATCATAGTTAAAGTACAGTATATTAAGATGATGTTGTAAATTGTGTTTTAAACTAAAAATAAATAAATAATCACTAGCTAATATTTTTGTAATAAAATTTGATAATGAATTTCAACGCTCGCTGGCATTAGAGGGGACCCTAGCGACTGACGGTTCAGAAGCGAAGAGGATAACGTAATTAACAAGGACACTGAATGAGATGTAATCGAATATGAACTAAAGCAAACATAACCGATAAATTATAACAAGTTAACACTGACCGTAAACTTAGCTGACGACCGCCGCTGGTGTAGTGCTCAGTGCTCCTGTCACGGCACCGCTTCTTCGACCGACAAGCGGCTCCAGTGGTGCCACATATCCACTCATACTCCCCAAGCTTAAATGTTAACTATAGCAAAATGAAATATACGAAATATATGGTTTATCTCAAATACATGCATGTTCAGTGATAAAAAAAAATGAAACATGAAAATTAAAATTAAAAAGGGTAATTATTGTGATAAATAACTCTAAGCGAAATATCTTGACCAAATATTACTATGTCAAATCTGCTTCCCAACTACCCCACAAATTAATTTTATGTATGCAATTAGTTAACTCCAACTACTTCAGAATGGTCATTACTAAAACGATAAATTGCAAGATCAAACCGATATCATGTTTATTTGCCGCCCATATGGTTATAGCCAGTTTCCTTGGACTACCATCGACAAAATCGACTTAATGTTTCCTGATGTTCACCAATGATAACTTGTGTGACTATTTTACTGCAAAAATATCCACATGCTTCCCAACCAACATGGTGCAATCTTATTTCCTCTTACAACGCCCACCTCGATCACCTGCAACAGGTTGCTATGGTTATTCGATGCCACATCTTGTGATAATATACAATATAACAAGACTGGAAACAACTTATTTTGCATGTTATAAGTATGGTATGTAGCTAATATGGGAAAGTTAACTGAGAAGATACCTGATTTAGTCGTAAACACGTAAAGTTACTCATATAACTGTTTATTTACGAAAAACTAATGCTCTATGACAACACTGTAAACACATCCTTGTAAGGGGAGCTGCGGAATGTAAAGTATTTCATCGCAAAACACAAGTCTGTCAACGATTTTATATATAATCATTCACTGCTAATTACAGGATACACAAAGTTCAAATATTTACTGAAAACCCAACATGCAAAGGTCATCGATGATGCTTACTCACTGAATACTGGTAAATTATTCTATAACTGGGTGAATTCAGGGAAGGCTGTTATCAAATAAGCACAGGTGTGGAGTTAATTACATCCTGGTTCATGTTGGTGACATTTACCACTACCATATTTGAGCTGGCAGATATACTCGAGGTGAAGCCAAGATATCCATCTCAAAATGGATTTCATATTTCACTTGTAGGAGCATAAACTAACGTATGTTTATGAAGAACCAAGTGCAAAGGTGTACAGTGAACAATAAAACGATTTTCCCAGCTTTGTCTGATGAATTTTTCAAAGCTGGCGAAACATGTGAACAGTTGGTGTGGTTGACTGGGTAGCATGATTCATCTGAGACGAGAACCCCTCTCCATACACAACATCCTAAAGTAATTAATGTGATAAATGATATATTTCACAGTCGTCATAAATGGAAAACAAGGATACCCTGGAGACTACGTATCAGTCCTCTCTCCAGGCCCGCCCACTGTTCAAAAGTTTCCCAGTGTCGGAAGGCTCGAGTATTCCGCCTCCACGATGCATTCATGTTCAGTAAAATTGACAGGATAGTTTTTGTTGTTCTATAACTTTCGCCACTTATCAGCTAACTGGACACGAAGCAGAAAATTAAACAGTAACTACATCCACTACACTACCACACACATACTACATCCACTACACTACCATACACAAGCTACATCCACTACACTACCATACACAAGCTACATCCACTACACTACCATACACAAGCTACATCCACTACACTACCATACACAAGCTACATCCACTACACTACCATACACAAGTATTATGTATTATGGGTTTCTCCCTTATATCTCCCATGAAATGGATTATCTGTCAACATACCTGACGACCATAAATGTACTGTACTGTAAAGGGGCGGATCCAGGAATATGAAAAGGGAGAGGGCCAAGAAGTTGTGGTTACAAGGCGAGCACAGCGAGCCCACCAAGCTTTTTTGGGGGGGGGGGGGGGAGCTGTAAGGCACCCCCCAGAAAATTTTCTGAAATCTGACCAATATTATGGGCATTTTGAGGCCATTTTAAGGCCATGTGCACTTGATATTAAGAGATATTCTGAGGTCAATTGTAATTACTTTTTTAATATACAAAAATGCCTGAGTACAATACTGCATTAAAGAAAAAGTATTGGAATTTTCTGATGAAAAGGAGGGGTCCGGACCCCCAGGACCCCCTGGATTCGCCCCCGTCTTTTGTTACTTAAAACAGGTGACCTGACGAGATCAAAACACCATGTTGTGGTCTACCTGACCTGAAAAGTCATCTACCAGGTACAACCGTGACCTATAGAAGAGGAGGTCATCCTACACCTGACCCAAAATGCAACTCAGCTTGTGCATAACTTATTCTGTACTGGTGTCCTGTGTCACATAGCGCCCGTTAATGTGTAGTGTTTGGGTGTAATTCTTTGTTCAAGTCAGATGGAAATATACTCATACATTTCCATACATTTCCTAAGGATGAAGAACTAAGATATCTGTATTGCCCTTCATAAAAATCAATACATGTATACATGTATAGAATTCCATGCATGTTTACTACCAAATATAACCAGCCTTCATATTCTAAGAAAACGACTCATCAAGTTGATACAGTACTGTAATACTGTGTCTCCATTAACCAGAATACTTCTTAGCCGGAACTCGACAAAAGCCGAAACGATTTTCTGAGGTTGAAAATCAGGCGCATTTTCCAGAAAATTCTGAGAAAAATTCCGGAAACTCCCAATTGTTTTTTTTTCCAGGTCTGGGAGCAAATTCAGAGGATGAAATAATGTGTCACTCTGGAAAATTCTAAGAAAATTCTAGAAACTCTCCAATTTTTTTTCTGGGTCAGGGAACAAATTCCAAGGATGAAATAATACTTTTACTTTTATCCTCTTCACACTGATCGGCTCATTAGCCGCTTGGGCGATCGGTCACGTCTCTGTTACACACTGTTGGCAAGTACTGGGCATGCACCGGCTCCTGAATGTACCTGAACCTGCTGCAGTGTTGGTCAAGTCTGGCCTTGACCAACACACTTTCCAGAAAATTCCAAAAAACTTTTCCCAGTAGCCGGAAAGATTCCGGGGATGGGTAACTTTTTCTGAGTTTGAGAGAGCTGTCGTGTTAACCGGAAATCTCTAATTCCTGGAAGTGCTCTGCACTAATTGTTTCAGTTAACGGGGGATATCATGGCACTTAACTATAGGCCGGATCACTCTTGTCAAGTATTTATTACTAATGGCTTCTGTCAATTCACATCAGGTGTGGAGGCCAAAGCCGGCTTACAGTAGTGTACGGTGAATAAAAATTGCTCGAGATGGCTTCTACTTACAAAAGCATAGTAGTATCAATAAATTCTTGGATGTTAATTGGTTAGGTCACTTTACTCGGTGTGGTCTTACTTTAAAAATTTAAGCACCAGATTTTACAAGATATGAATTGACAAATTTTCGTAAGTGGTAAGTTTCAGTAATAGTGGAGGAGACGGGTAGCAGCAGAAAGAGCCTATGAAATTAAATAGTAATTTCCACAGGTGTTGTTTGAGTGATAGTAATAAAAATGATGACTTTTTCCTCTTGATTTCAATTTTTTCTTCATTTTTTCTATCTTCCGTAGAGGACAGAGTATGAAAGAAGAGGGAAATAATGGGGTAAAACATGGTGATTTCATGTCTCTATGTTCAATAAAATTTTTATTGTAAATAATCTGCCGTCAATTCTCCTGTGACGCAGATTATTCTCGTCCACTTTTAAACTACAGTATAAATTGGTGACGGTGTCTCACATTGAGAGTTTTATAACAAAACAAATTGGCTTGGTTGTATTTTCCTTTAAATTTTATATGCGTATATATACGTATATACTCCTTAGTCTATACCCACCCCTGAAGATGTGAATTACACGAAAGCGCTTGAGAACTTCGTGTTTTCTTGTGGTTATCAGCATATATATATATATATATATATATATATATATATATATATATATATATATATATATATATATATATATATATATATATATATATATATATATATATATATATATTTACATTTTCTGTTAATTATCATTGGATTTGAAGTGAACTGTACAGTATGTTCCTATACAGTACTGTAATTATTGTTCTTCCTTTTACATCCATAAAAGAAATAAAAGTACACAATGCAGCTTCAAGAAAATTGCTTTCATAGGGACCCCAGAAATGAAAGTAAGTTCTTTCAGCTAAATATGCAGCAAGTTCAGGGGGGCTCTTCCCTCGGTTAGGCAGTTACGTAAGGTTAGATACGTCTCGTTGGGTTAGATTGGTTAGGTCAGGTTCTGTTAGTTTCTGTGCATCGTCGTTTCCATTTTCTTGTTTATTTCAGGCAAATAACTTCTCAAGAAATTGTGGTACAATTCCATAAGTTCTTTCTACTGCTAACCATCTCCCCCAATAATTCTTTTGGTAATGGTGGAGCAGACGGCCAACACCAGGAGTTGTTCGATGTCTTTCATTTTTTCCACTGATGTTCTTTGGATGACAGTAAATAATAAAAAGATAAAACAATACACAGAACCTAAGAGAACCTGACCTAACCGACCTAACCAAAGGAACCTAACTAACTTCCTAGCTGGCAACTTACTTTGATATCTGGTACGCATCAATGAAAGCAGCTGTTGGTGTACCTAAAATTAATCTTTACCTCTGACCTAACCAACCAGAAAACCTATCCTAACCTAACCCACCAGAGAAATCTGACCTAACACCACAACTTGGTAGTGTTTTCCTCATAAATTCCAGTTTATTTACCAAATGGTCGAGGTAAGAAGACCAGTGGGCTGTGTAGGATCCCTTCATTTGATAATTTGGTCTATAGTTTCGGTCATCCCTTTGTTTTTCCGCTGCTATGGGAAGTGTTTTGAATGATTTGGATCTAACCTAACCTAACCTAACCTAACCTAGCCTAGCCTAACCTAACCTAACCTAACCTAAATTCTTAAGATTCCCCAGATAACCTAAATGATAATAATACTGTATTACTCACCTAAAAGTGGAATTATATAACACACAAAGTGTTGGACTACAGTGCTGCCGACGCGAATGCCACCTACAAAGAGTTCCGTTACGTGTCATGAGAGTTACATATAGATATTAGATAACACACTTAAGATAAACTCCGGTGTGTGTGTGTGTGTGTCACCTCCGGTGTGTGTGTGTGTGTGTGTCACCTCCGCCCCCTTGGTCTGACTCTGAACCCGACTACCAGGTGTTTACGTCTCGAATCCCAACGCAGATGAAACCTTTGTACTTTTATCAAATAGCAATAAAATTATGGCTTCATACAAATACCTTAAAATATTAGGTGAATCTAGATTAATTACTTTTACTCTCCGTTAGTTTTTATGTACTACTGGGTTTAGGAGGATGACGTGGTTCGGGTTCGAGTATAGGATTCAGAGTGGCCGAAGCCTTGAGCTCCTGACTTATTTACAACGGTTTGTTATTTTTCTCAAGATATTTTCCTGTAACAGAAAACCAAAAGTTTAATATGGTAGACTTCAGGTTTTAGGGTATAAGGAATTTCTGTTGATTTTCTACATTATGAAATGCAAAAGGATGCACCTAGATTGTACCAACTGTAAGGAAACATGTTACATGTCCAAACGGGACGAAGACATGTCAATAATTGAGACCAAAATAATGTGAAAAGGATTTGGGTGTGTATGTTATGACACTGAAATTAAGTTCTGTGAGAAGAAGGCAAATCAAACATATAATATACTGAATTGAATTGAATTGAAAAAGCTTATTTAGCCAGAAAAACACAGATACTGAGTGGATAATAATAACAATATGAACATGGCTGAGCCAGTTGAGAACCTGAGCTCTCTTTTACTTTTATCCTCTTCGCCACTGATCGGCTCGCTAGCCGCCCGGGCGATCGGTCACGTCTCTGTCACGCACTGTTGGCAAATACTGGGCATGCACCGGCTCCTGAATGTACCTGAACCCGCTCCAGTGTTGGTCAAGTCTTCTCTTGAAAGAGCTCACACTCGGTGCCGTCACAACACTCTCTGGTAGATTGTTCCAAGAGTTTACAACCCTCACTCCGAAAAAGTTTGCCCTCACGGTTTTCCGGACTTGCGGCTTCTTCAATCTTGAGCTGTGACCCCTTGTGGGGCGAGCGTCCGCCAGCTCCAAGTAAGGACACTCAACTGAGTAGTGCCCCTGAGATGCTTATATACCTCAACTAGGTCCCCCCTTGCCCGTCTGTAGTATAAGCTAGGCGTTCAGGCGCTCCAATCTCTTTTAGGCACCTAATATATACTATTTTTTACTTTACTATAGTAATATGACGTATGCACGAGTTTGCGTCTCCCTCTTTCGTTGCATTATATATTTCCTGAATTATAATTAAGTGAAGTGAAGTCTGCCAACACATGGAATACAGTCAAGGAACTATAATTTTTACCCTAGCTTGTGCGAAATAAATCCTTTTATTTCATTAATGGTATCAAGGGTGATGCTGTTTTGTGGATGTAATTCTATAGAATTTAGTTTGCGGTAACCAACTGTTGCATCTTTCAGTCAAAAGGATTATTCCTATAGTACAGGGAACAGTTAAGATGAGCCTTGGCCGCTCTGCTTCACTCACTATGAACATAACATAACTATGGCGTGATATACAACAATGATCTACCACAGTAGTGACGAGAAACAAATTCATCATAGTGTTTGATGAGGCACAAAACAGTAATTCTATAAAGTATGAATTATATCATACACCAGTGACATATAATATTCTCATTTATGGTGAAAATACCAAAGGAAAAAAATAACGAACAGTATTTTCACATTGTTTGCTTGTGTTCGCATGGTCTGTTTACAACTGGCGGGTATGATAAGTATATTGTAAGGGTTAGGGTATTATATGCCCTCCATAATATACATGGTTTTGTTTTGTGGTTGGTATATACAGTGTAGGGTAAGAAGAGAGACTGTTAGTTACCACACTGCTGCCCGAAGATGTGTACCGTACTGCACGTCTGTTATAACTATTATGACAATTTTTCACACTAACTCATATATCTAGTTTTCACATCATAAACAAGTGCTTCTAATTTTACGTTTGTGCTATGTAACTGCATTTCAATATACTTCAACCTTTCTATCTCCAGGTCATGCTACGGATGAGTGAACAATCGAGGGTAATGTTCCGCGTGGAGATAATTTTGCCTTTCGCTAATTATTCTGATATAATAATGACGCCATTAGATATGCAAGATGAGACCCGCCCGTGCTGGTAGTATATATGGCAGCCAGCAGAGGGCGGCGTGGTCTAGTTAACACCTGGGAGCCGTCACTACGCCAACTCGTCATGAAGGTACTGGCCGTTACTGAGGCAGATGGGTCATGATGCCTGACTCCTTGGGTATGTTACCCCTGGCCAGCGTAGACATACTCAAGTTTTCAGCTGTAGCCATGCCTAGGTGATCAGCTGTAGCTATGCCCAGGTGATTAGCTGTAGCCATGCTCAAGCGTCCAATTGTAGCCTTGCCCAATTGTTCAACTATAACCAGGTGTTCAACTGTAGCCATGCCCAGGTGTTCAACTGTAGCCATGCAAAGGTGTTCAACTGTACCCACGACCAAGTGTTTAGCTAAAGCCATGCTCAGGTGTTCAGCTGGATTTATCACCACCAATAACGCCCTCCATCACCACCACTAACACCCCCATCACCACCACTAACACCCCCATCACCACCACTAACACCCCCATCACCACCACTAACACCCCCATCACCACCACTAACACCCCCATCACCACCACTAACACCCCATCACCACCACTAACACCCCCATCACCACCACTAACACCCCATCACCACCACTAACACCATCACCACCACTAACACCCTCACCACACCACCATCACCACCACTAACACCCCATCACCACCACTAACACCATCACCACCACTAACACCCCATCATCCACCACTAACACCCCATCACCACCACTAACACCCCATCACCACCACTAACACCCCATCACCACCACTAACACCCCATCACCACCACTAACACCCCATCACCACCACTAACACCCCATCATCACCACTAATACCCCCATCATCACCACTAACACCCCATCACCACCACTAACACCCATCACCATTATTACCATAAAATCTACATAAACACACAACACTGATTGACAGAAGGATACGGCAGGTCAGGTTATCTCTAATCTGCATGTCAATCAACCTAACCTAACCCAACCTAACCAAACCTTAGTCTCGGAAACACTAGTACAGATATTGACAATATTTTTCCTCCCCCCAGACAGTAGCGGTGGTGGTGGTGGTGTCGGTGGTAGTGGCGGCGTGGGCGACTCCTCAGTTCACCAACGCTCCCACTCAGTACAGCTTCGAGTGGGGAGTCAGCGATGAAAACTCGGGCAACTTCTACGGTCACCGTGAGCAAAGGGACGGAGCCGGTACCCAGGGCAGGTGAGTCTACGGTCACCAGGAACAAGGAAGAGCATGAGTAGCCCGCGATGAGGCACCGTATTAGAACCATTTGTTAATATCTTAGGTCGCTCATGTTGAGTCGCTGAGGTTCCCTTATCACTGTTGTCCACATTCAGTCATCCGCTGTCACTGTACTTGACCTTGTGTGAGCTCTGTCAGCCAAACAAATTGATGGAGCCTCACGTATTATTAAGTTAAGTCTTCCTGGAACAATGACACAAACACAGAGGTTAAAGAAGCGTATTGTGTGTCATGTGGTTTAGGGGTTACGACACAGAGCAAATTATGCAGATAAACTCGATTCAAATTATAAGGAAACTGCATCAGTACTAACCCTAAGATAACGAAGGACGTCATGAATAAAGTCTGTTTGATCATATATGTATTGATTTTCACAGAGGTAATCATAGCAGTAAAAAAAACAAAAACTTGTCCTTGTTTCGATAATCCAAATAAATGATAAATAAAACAAAACAGAATAACACATCTAAAAACGATCGTAAGCTTCTTGTTTACAATCGGTTAAAATATAAACGTCTTGTTATCTTCCAGGATCCAGCTCTCTCTTCTTCCTTCCTCTTATATAAACACTAGGCCTCAGCCTTGATAATTCACGTCTGTTTATTATTCTTCAGATTCTTCCATTTATCATACTTCTCTAGGATCTAAAGTCCCATACATTAATACATATTTTTTTTAGTCATAATATGCAGTATTTAAATGACCTCTTCATTTATTTACAGTTACTACGCAAAACTACCAAACGGTCTCTCTATGAAGGTTCAGTACACCGTAGACAAGAGTGGTTTTCGCCCCAGCACCGTGACCACTGAAGGCCAGACTCAACGCCGCAGTGTAAAAGTACAGCGTCCAACAGCACCCCGATCTCACCCACTTAGCCTTACAAAAGACCCAATCACCGCGAGACAAGCTATCTCCTCTGTCCCTAACCCAGCAACACTACCAGATCGTCGACCTCAACCACCAGTTCGTCCAATCGTTGTCCCAGGTTCGGTCACTGGTCCTTTCACCTCTCAGCATCAGCCCAGCTCAAGCCCAGGGGTAGTATCAAGTTATGCTACCGTTCCACCTTTAACTGTGGGGCAGGGAGTAGTCCCCACTGGCTCCCGCCCTCCAGCAAAGTCTCTTTCAAACACCAAGACAGGATCGTTCTCTCCCTCCGGCTCCAAGATACTCCGAGACGCTGATAATATAAACAGGGTCCCTTCCAGCCTCATCCAGCCAACAATTCACTCAATTCTCAAGCCAAAGTTAGTCCCATCCCTTTCTTTCCCAACAATAAGTGTTTCTCTCCATAAGCCAAAAGGATTTATACCCAGTCCTCACCCACCAAAAGATCACACAGTCCACAAGCTCTCAGCTCATCTTCCCGAGAGAGGTGTTTCTACCTCCCTTTCAACATCCGTTCCTCCAGCTACTCTTTCTCCTAGACGAGAGGTTCGTCCCCAGCTAAACTCGCTTGACTTAGGAAAATTCTCTAAACATGAGGAAATTTTACTCCCAGAAAGTTTCACAGCTTCTCAACCACGAACACTGCAGCCTTCTCAAATTCCCACAGCAAGTCACTTTACCCACGAGAAAGGTGAGCTCCGACCAATTCGTGTGTCCAAAGAGAGCAAGTCTGGCTTTAAGTGGATTGATTCCCCATTCCATCGCCCCCGTGAAGTAAATATAATAACAGCAGCTCCTCCCCTACCAAATTATGATTTTTTATTATTAGCCGAAGCAATGAAAGTGTCAGACGGCCGTGTGATATAGAATTATTCGTGGTTCTTGTATCACACTATTCGTCTACGCCTACGTCTATGTCAGAGTTGTGATGACGTCACGGAGCTCTTTTCAAGTACAGCTCTCTTACTCATGGTTGCCTTTCATACTGTTTGTTTTTGTTATGTTTCTAATTTAGTTTCTTTTTTGTTTTGTTGACTAATAATTATTGTATATTAATGTAAATAAATATGCTACCTACCCCTGATGTTTGTGGTAACAAGGTTTTATTTTAATCTATGTAAGGGGGTGTTTCTGTACAATAGAATACTTGTGATTAAGCAGTAACTGAAGGAAATATATCAGAGGCATTATAAAACAGAAAAAGGCCCAGTAGTAACCAATGCTCTTTAGAAACACTCAGGCGAGTCACCAGAGAAGTTTCTTATAGTGTTCGTCTTCGTTTTACCTTAAAGTGTTACCGATGAAACCTGACCAATGTCCTGGCCATTTTGAGGTCATGTGCACTTGATATTAAGAGATATTCTGAGGTCAACAGGAATTAATTTTACTCTACAAAAACGCCTGAGTACAATACTGCATTAAAGAAAAAGTCTTGGAATTTTCTGATGAAAAGAGGGGTGTCCGGACCTCCAGGACCCCCTGGATCCGCCCCTGTAATTATTATTAAATACACACATGTCCAAACACACACACACACACAGTACACACACACACACACATACAGTACACACACACACACACACACACACACACACACATACAGTATACACACAGTACACACGTGTGACCGGGCGTGTGTGTGTGTGGAGAGGAGAGGAGCCGTACCCGTGAAGAGAGTACACGCGATGGGTGGAGCAACACGCCACAGGTACAGTACATTCACTCTCTCGCTCTGGGCCAAGTCGGGACCACTTCCTAGTCGTGTGGAGTAATACTGACGCACACACACGCACACACACACACACACACACACACACACACACTACAATTAGCTAATCCTCACTCACTCAATGGGTGGTTGAATGACGGAGTACTGTAAAGAGTTTGTGTGCAGAGTAGCTCAACCTGACCTTGAGAAAGTTCTGGGAAAAATCAGTTTCATAATGGCGGGCCAACAGACACACTGTACCTGACAACGTTATCACATGAAGAAGGACGTGCAGGAAGAGAGTTCAACAGTGTGAGGAGAAGCAAGAAGGTAGAGGGGAAGAAGGAGCCCAGTATACACGTAGCGTCATAACACAGTATTTATGAACGAGAGGCGATGGTGATAATGTTTCAAATTTCATCATATTTCTCCTCTACAGTAGCGGTGAGATAAGGGCAGAAGGAAACAACGCTACTATGAGCTGTGTAAGTCTTGCGGCTCACGATAGACGTTATAAAGGTAGACTAAAGAGGATTATGATACAGTCTGGTATATACACGAACTGATGTCTCCCTTATCCACTCTGAGAAGAAAAAAACATGTTTAGCTTTACTGTAACATTTAATCAAACTAAAAGATCAACAACGTCATATAATTGAGGAGATTCAACTAGGATAAAACGTGAAAAAAAATGTCCGAACATAGAATATAAGACAACTTTGGGGAGAAGAAAAATCAAGAGACGAAACATGAGAAAACAGATACTTTTCTTGTAGGTAGAATGACAATGAAGGTTCTCACAGGCGCGCATCTCACCTGGTGTTCGTGACCATTGCCCACCACAATAAGGGTGACGAGAGAATTTTCCTACGTTCTCCATGTAACTACACAGCAATCAATCACACCTCGAGTGAGAATCCTGGGACCCACCTTCACACTTACTGATACGTCTGGATGGTTGTGAGGTAATGTGAGGGTGTTGGCGCCTATCCATCACGGAATCATCTAGAACAGACCTCTACCACTGTCTCGGCTATTATTCTCGTCTTCCGTATTATCAACGATCTCAGGCTCAATAATATCAAATGTCTCTCCAATTATCATTATCTCACCTCCTGCAGTTTCGCCATGACAGCCTCTGTACAAGTGTGAATCTTACTCGGTTCATTATTACTTCTGTCCAGGTTAGGTTAGGTTAGGTTAAGTTTCCCCTACTATCTGTAGAAATGAAACCAATTATCAGTGAAGGTGAATGATGTAGACTACTAAAACTTCTTAGTGCAACAGGGTTATAACGTAAATTTTAGAAATCTTTTTTTTATTTCATTTATTAAACTGGTTGAATATTTATCATGAAAACCTCGATATTAAATATTATATCGACCCCCAAAGTCATTGCATAAACGATTCTTGAACAGACGGACAAGAGTAACCTTTAGTATGTGCTTCACGAACTTCTATGGCGGGAACTAAGAAATGAACACCGATGAATTGTGTTTAAAAAATCTACTTAGTACTTAAATCCACATAATATTAGACAAGAGTATTAAATTATGTAAGTGTGTTGATGGTGGGCAGCCAGGGGGCTTAACGTTTGCCTTCTCGTCAGGGGCATCCCCGGTCCACAAAGCTGTGAATGAGAACCTCACTTTACAGGTGGGAATGTTTGGACCGCTAATGAGACTTATCTTCGCCCCCCAGATTATGTAGAAGGTGTAACCATCTCCAATCTTCCATATATCCACCTGTCTCAAATACCACCACCTGACTTATGTGACTATAAAATTGTAAAATAAAATAAATTTTCAGTTATTTCCTTTACATACCTTTTTTTCACTCTCCTCAGATATAATTACATACGGTGTACGATAAAACGGGTAACAGTTGACTGTATAAAATATTTCTCATTATTCTATTAGTGTGATTACGTACACCAACACACCTACAGCGCGCCACTGGTGTTCCCGTCGTGTATAGGAATTGTGGCGGCGGTGATCTCGTGTCTTGGAGTTCCACGGATGCTGCACTTCCTCTTTCTCAATAACTATAGTAGGGTAAACGTGGCGGTTCAGCACAAACGACCACACCCAACCGTCCTCACCGTGATGCTTATATGCTGGTATCTGGGGTGATGGCAGCAGTGCTCCTCTACACTCTGTCGGTCAAACACATGAAGGCAAGTTATATTCTCCAACTATTTGTATAATATATCGATTTACTGGCACACGCAGCAACAGGTTCTTCGTTGGTGCTCCCCTTGGGAATATTAAACTAAAAGGAGTTTTATTGCCGTTTTAGTGTAAATGAACAGCAAGAAGTTGTAAAATCTGTTCTAGTTCACTTGATTTTTACATCTTCATGGTGACCAAAACAGCTAAAATATCACAAACAACGATGCGATGTACTGTACCATACTGACAGGCGTGATTATCAGCTTCTAATATCGAGAGGAACATTCAAACTATAAAACAATTTACTTTACTTAATGTTATTGTACCCCTGTTAGACTGTGGCTCTGTTGCTCCTGGTGGTGGTGGCAGCATGGGCCAGCCCTCAGGGTTACGGTGCCCCGACATCTGGAGGGCAGGATTACCAGTCTGGCCCCGCTGTGTACAACTTCCAGTGGGACGTCAACGACTCTCCCTCAAGCAACTTCTACGGCCAGAATGAAGATAGAGACGGAGACAACACCCAGGGCAGGTGAGTCTATGACGGACACGCCATTAGGGCTGTCAATATCGTTTATCATCCCGCGAATGAGAGATAACCTGGTAACCTGACGTAAGCCAATAGTAGGATGGGGTTTTTGCTTAATTCATATCTGTTTTTGATCCATGTGGCTCTTGTGATGTCCCGCCTTGCTACCCACAACATTGAGGAAAGGTAAAGTTGACAAGTTAAAATAATGAGCGAATAATCTAAGGGTTGAAATATGTGGATGCAGTAAGTAAGGAACACACACAAGAATCACTGTTATCGTGACAGACAAATTTAAGCTATGAAAGAGATAAAAAGATTAAGTAAACCGAGTCATTTAATAACATATATATTATTAAGTATTGATTAATATAATAAATTAGGTGCATTACACAACACAAGTAAAACACAAATATGCAATTATCAAAACACACCAGAATATTACCTGATTATTCCTACTTTAAATATTAAATACACATACTATATACAACACAAAAACCTGATAGAAATGGCAGCTTAGGTAGTATGTCTAGGTTGCTATAGCCAACCGCAAGTAACCAGGGATTACCACCGTAGTCCACTACCATCAAACCATCACAACACCACCAACAGTAGTCCGTAATACAAGCCTTCGTCCACACCATAGGCCGCAGAGAAGAGACTGACGAGGTTACCAGGCAGACACGCTTACCTTGATACCTCGGTCCGCAGCTGAGCTGGTCTCATAGCCAGATGGGAAACTGGTTCCGATCGGTGCTCACTGGGGTGGAGTAGCTTCGTGGAACAGGTTCTCCTCCTGGTGTCGAGTTGGAGCAAGTGGTTATTATGATGGGAGAGTGAGGAGGGGAGAGAGTCGTCACACTATACATTAATATTTGTAACGAAGTTTGATTCAAACAGATGTCTCAAGTGCCCCCTGCGAACCCCGACGGAGCTGGACACTTTATTTAAAATACGTCCTTCGTCGCAGAGATGTCCCTCTGCTGAAGGGGTTACTTTATAATCTGGCCCTGAGCTGCTAAAGAGCCGGAGACACTGAACGATGAGTGTGATTCAATGAGCCAGATTTATAAAAAAAAAAAAATTGAAGGAACATTCGAAAAGTCACTTGGGATTTATGTTTCTGGGCAATAGTTCAATTTCCTCGGGGTTCTCTCCCTTTAAAAGAAGGAAAGAAAGAAGCACCATTGCTGAGACAGATTAAATGTTTGAACACAAGATAGCTTTTCCTTAAGGACCAATGATTCACTTTCATAGTTGAAGTTGGCAACCAGCAGCGGCAGATCATCATCCAGACCTTTGCAAACTTTCGTCACAGAAGGCTTTTTCTCCCCACAAACTAAACAATTGCTCACAAACAAGAAAATTGTTTGCCTTATTCTTCCAATCCTGTCCACCTCCCGCTAACAAATGTCTTGCCTCACCCTCAGTTACTACGTCCAGCTCCCCGGTAATCGTCAACTGAAGGTGGACTATACCGTCGACGAGTTCGGCTTCCACCCCGTCGTCACCTATGGGTCTGGTGGCCAGGGCTCAGGTGGCCAGGGATACTCTCAGCCCGCCCCAGCCCCAAGCCAGGGGTATTCTCGCCCTGCCCCAGCACCAAGCCCGAGTTACTCCCGCCCTGCCCCAGCACCAAGCCCGAGTTACTCCCGCCCTGCCCCAGCACCAGCACCAAGTCCGAGTTACTCCCGCCCTGCCCCAGCACCAAGCCCGAGTTACTCCGCCCTGCCCCAGCACCAGCACCAAGTCCGAGTTAGCTCCCGCTCCTGCCCTGCCCCAGCACCAGGCCCTGAGCACCAGCAGCCAGTTACTCCCGCCCTGCCCCAGCACCAGCACCAAGCCCGAGTTACTCCCGCCCTGCCCCAGCACCAGCACCAAGCCCGAGTTACTCCCGCCCTGCCCCAGCACCAGCACCAAGCCCGAGTTACTCCCGCCCTGCCCCAGCACCAGCACCAAGCCAGGAGTACGGTCTACCCACTCAAACTCAAGCCCCACAACAGAGCTACCAGGAGCCTACACCAGCCGTGACTTCCTTCTACATTCTGCCTTTATGATGATTCCGGCAAAGATTTTTTCTCAAATGTCCTTATTAATTTTTATAAAGACTTGTCCTATTTTTTTTTGTCTTGTACACCAGCCCCATTCCATCCCCAGGTGCCACGCGAAGCAAAGTGCCCCGTGGATTCGAGTTCCGATAGAGGGACTACTCTCTGTTTGATTGTCCAGGTTATATATCGGCAATTTCTGGTTTAGGAAGCTGAAATATTTACTCAATAATGGCCAAGGTCTTCGGCATTTCTCTATTTGTTTATTTTTGGTTTACATTTATTTCTATCTATTAAGTTTTGACTTGTTGAATAATAGTCCCTTGTCTCCTCCGCTAATTTGTCGAGTTAAAGTCAAACTATATGCGGTTACAGTGTTAATTTTTGGTGTATTATTTTACCTCAGTTTCCCTTAATGATAACATATAACACTTAATGATGAAAGTACACCTTGTGTTGATGTACACCTTGTGTTGATGTACACCTTGTGTTGATGTACACCTTGTGTTGATGTACACCTTGTGTTGAACTCCCGTCTGTCACGTTAACAGTGTTGATCATTGTACTATGTTATTACTGGTTGATCTTCCTTTAATATCCGGTATTTTTATTCAGGAACTTACGTTAAGTGTTATTGTTCTATGTCACTTGCCTTTACACCCTTTATGTCCCTAATATGAGTCAGGGTTCTGGACCTGGGGACAGTTTGAGGTCTACTCTCCTCAGCCAAGCCCTGAACTTTAATTAGGTTTTCTGTATAATCACCTAAAAATGTATTAGTGAACATATTATTAATGTTTTTAACTTGTTTTTGTTAAGAAGTACAGCATGTATCGCCGTGTTGTCTTCTTAACATAACTGGAATTCAAAAAAATTAAAGAAAATTAATCCAAATAAAATTTTAAGAATCATATGAACGAGTCAGTAGATTATTCCCTCTTACACGATACTTACAGTTCCCAGAAATATTACGTTTGGAAGGTTCAACTAAATGATGTTATTAAACTGATACTAAGAACTAAAGTTTATAAAATCATAAAGACTCCGGCAGACGTCGAGGCCATACAAAGAGACTTGAAGAATTGAGTAAGTATTGGCTGATGTATTTAATGTCATCAAATGTAATAGGATTCACTTTAGATGTAAAAATACAAGATCTAACTACCCCCCCCCCCCCAAAGATATGTACAGTAAATTTTGACTTATTAAACAACCGAGCGTTTTGAGAATCATAGGTTTTTCGAAGTAAACACAAGTTAAAGACCCGTCATTACGTTTGTTGAAACTTAGGTTAAATATCAGCAAAACGGGACCGTATTGGGAGAATAGAGATCTCAAAATTCACTCACTGGATGTTGGGATCAACTCTCACTCTCCCTCGAAGTAAACACGAATAAACGTGTGACAATGATGATGAAGTAGTTTATCCGAGTCACTACCAAGTCATGATACGAAGATTATTGGTATAAAGCCCTTAAGGCCCGGAGAGAATACATGTGTGGTTTAAGAACAACGAGGTAACACTTGAGTAAACATAAGACAATGCAAGTTAAGCGGGTTTTTTTTATAGATCTGGCTAATCTTTTATTTACTCGCATTATCGTGATTTATACCATGCTGGTGTTATACCACCACTCCGGTTTATCAAGAATTTGCCACTAGTCACATAAGAGGTGAGGTTTGATCGTGAAAGCATAAAGAAACAATCCCCTGACACTCGTGGTCACAGGGTAAACACTATAATGACTCTAATAATATATAGGCCAGGTTCTTACTAAGCCTCATATTAAGGGAGAATCATTCTCTGCATAATTTCTTAATATATTAATATTAGGGAACGTATTTACAAAGACAAATTAAAAAACAAGTGGAATATAAACAACCACAGCCTAAATTACCCTAAACCTTAACCCTACTCTTACCATACACTTGAGCAGTACAAAAGTATAAAACACTAATCTCCAATACATATATCCTGAGTCTAGACCAGCTGTACCACACGTGGACCACACTCTCTCTCCCCACTCACTGGCTGAGCTGGTGGACCCTGACCCACACAGTGCTGATACCATGTCGCCAATTAATTATCAAACAATTTTACCAAACTAATACACAACGTAGGCTGGTTTACTTAATACATATAACACACAGACTTTGAACATATAATCAACAACCTCACCAGCCAGGACTCGAACCCTCAACCTACTGTGTGGGACCAGGGAACGTTACCGACCATGCCACAAGGACACTAAAAGCAGTTCTAGACTATGTTATATTTCACACAAAGCCTGTTCATCGAGCTGATGGCGCCGTGAACCTCCCATTGGGAACTGCCCGTGCCGCTTATGTGGATGTCAGTAGCATTTTACCGAATCCAGTTGGTATGAAACACGAGGTACCATATATACAGTACTTCATTTTAGTCCATATAATATATATATATATATATATATATATATATATATATATATATATATATATATATACAGTATATATATATATATATATATATATATATATATATATATATATATATATGAAAACATTGGACAGATGAATAAAATAAAATCACACGGGAAAATGGAAACAACAGGTATGGCTTTCGTCTTCAAGGAACATCTTCAGAAACAGCTAGATTACATGGACAGAGAGAGGCTTAAATATACAGACTTAAAACATAGAGGTCAGGTCATAATAGACAGGCATCACTAATCCCCACACCAACGGCAAAACAGGGCTTTTGGGGAGGTCAGGTCGAAAAAGGACCCTAAAATAACTGTCATACGCTCAAAAGATCAAAGGTTTTCAAAGCAGTTTTAACCTTGGGCCACTGACAAATAAATTTGTGTAACATATTATCAGTTTTGAACGGCCATCACTAAGGTTTATTGATTTTAATTCTTAATCAAACTAACTTCAACCCAGAATTTTCTGTGACTAAAGATGATTTGAATACTTCTAGCTTTTTTCCCAACAATGGGGTGATTAATATTCTAACATGAACAGATAAGGCACTGCTTTCAGATGCAGTTCTGATATTATACTTATATTTGTTTTGATTCTGGGCTGCAGTGTTTTCCTGTCTGACCTACATAATTACAATTACAGTGGCTACATGGAATACAATAACACTTTGGCTGATTCATTTCCTTGATAACATATTAGTGATGGTTGAGTCTACTTAGGGAAACAACGTGTAATATTTAGAAGCTTGAGGACCGAACTAAAGGGACAAATTCATCACGATGAGCAGGAGTCAAAAAATATTCTTAGGTGTAGGAACTTGTCTGGTTACAGAGAATGAAAAGGATTTTTAGCCCTTTTAAAGCAACAGTCAACAAACACAGAAGGTACCCAAGTTTCTGTGCAAACAGAGTCCACAAATACACTTGAACATGGCGGAAAGAGCTCAAGGTGATTGGATAAAAAGTATGGAAACTGTCTACCTGTGGGCTTTCTATATACCTTAAATTTATAACGTTTGTATGCATTTCTAGATAAGCATATCCATAAAGAAATGGAAGGATTCACTATTTTCTGCTCTTTCAATTTTGAGACTAGATTTTAGGGACAATATTATTAAACATATAAAAATTCCAAAGAGGTCACTGTTTTTTGGGCCAAGACAAAAGAACATCATCTACATATCTATACCAGAGAGGAATGATTAACTACATTTGGGGAGTAATCTAGACTCAAGAACTCCATATAAATACAGGCTAGAAGAGGAGCAGAAAGACAATTACCCATGCTCATACCAAATACTTTGCTTGTAGAACTTCCATTTGCACCTAAACACATTGTCAGTTACCTTTCTATCAATTTCAGAAAGTATGTCATATTCCAATAGTTAAATCTACTTGATTTGTAATTTATCTTTAAGAAATGAAAAGTAAAGTCTTTCACAGGTACTCCCTAATCAGGGCGATGATTTGTCAACATTAATTCATGATTTCATTTAGTTTTATATGTGAATTAGATATTTGGCCTGTAGAGGGGATATCATCTTTACCAACATATTTTGGATAATTTGGCAGCCATAGATTTAAGACTTAGAATGGTTTAATGGTTATTAAGCTTGTGTGTTTTTGATCAATCATACATATAAGGTAAATTAGGACTGATTTGAAGCTGTTTAGTGAATCAGGGGTTCTTTTTCAATAACATCTTCATTTGAATTAGATAACTTATTAATATTTTCAGGGATGCTGGCAAAACTCTGTGCATTGCTTTCATCACTGACGACAAATTCATCTTTATCCAGTGTAGTCACTTTTTATCCAGAATAACAATAGCATTAGACTTATCAGCCTTTGGGATGAATTCTTATTTCTTTTCAAGTTTATAAAGGCTATTTCAAAATCTTTTGGAATGTTTGAAGTCCACCTTCAGTTTTGATGTATGACAGTTATTTTGTGGGTCCTTTTTTCTGACCTGACCTGTTTAGTCACGTCACCACCTTCTCTTAAGCTCCTCTACGGTTGTGTTGGTGTGGGATTAGTGGATGTCATCATTATGACCTGACCTCATGTTTTTAGTCACCTATATTTATGCCTCTCTCTGATTGCCTCTGAAGATGTCTTGAATAAAGACAGAAAAGCTAAGGTACTCCGTTGTTTCCATTTTCCGTGTGATTTTATCAAGATATATATATATATATATATATATATATTAAACAATTATTACATAAGGGAACAAAGTAATGTAAAATATAGCCTTAACTACTGAACAAGAAGGGTAATTACCTCTGAACAGGTAAAGTAATTACCTCAAAATACAACTTATATTCGGTGTCACATAACACTGGAACCCTTCTCACTGTGCTCTATACCTTGCTGGAGCCTCCACAACCCTTCCAATAGAGTGTAATGAAAATACATAATCATGAGGAATATGATGATAACGAAGCTCTTTTGTTCCTCCAGACGCCGCCTACAACACAAACATGTGATCTACATCATTATGGATGGCCCTAAATGTCGTCGCATCAGCTCAGGACTTCTGATGTAAATTTAGCCAATTGTAAATATAACAAACAGGGTTAAGAGAGATCTCATAATGCAAATTATTTATTTTTATTCTTCAGTATTGCGTTGAAACTGTAGGAGTGTATTGCTGGGTACAAAGAGAGAGAGAGAGAGAGAGAGAGAGAGAGAGAGAGAGAGAGAGAGAGAGAGAGAGAGAGAGAGAGAGAACCTAGTACAGCAATATACCACCACTTAATAATTCTAGTATTTGGTAAATAAGTTTAGGAATAATAAGGTAAGAATGATAATATTCAGATAATATATTAATGATATATTTGTTAACATTCTTCCAGTGTTCACCATGATGGTTTACAGGGACTACAACACACACACACACACAGTACACACACTTAACACGTTTATGGAAGCCGAATCAAAACAGTGAACAAGAGGATTTACATACAAGAAACTTAGTAATTGACCAGACATAAGGGAATCCCTGGACCGTGTTATATCCCGCTAAGGAGGGAGTGAGGAGCTCAGAGTGAATCTTGTGGCTATGAAGTCCATCACAGAGTAGTACAGTGGTGTTGTCCTTCTGATGAGTGGGTCAGTAGGTAGGACTTGACTTGATACGGGAATTTCGGGAAGAAACACAAGTCAGTAATATCACAGTTTAAGTTAAAAGTGAAATTTACATGATGTGTTAAAACTGATGGGGTGAATAACTGGTTAAAACAAAAGGATATTAACACCAGGCAAACATTTTATAACAGCGTATAAAAAAATAAGTTTAAAAAAGCTGGGATGAATATTGGAACAAAATAGAGAGCTGAACTAACAGCTTTTGGAGATCATGTTTGATAATTATAATGAAGGAAGAGTTTATTAGTGTTGCGGCAGGTTACTGATATCCCTGGCCACCTGAGCCCTGGCCACCAGACCCATAAGTGACGACGGGGTGGAAGCCGAACTCGTCGACGGTATAGTCCACCTTCAGTTGACGATTACCGGGGAGCTGGACGTAGTAACTGAGGGTGAGGCAAGACATTTGTTAGTGGGAGGTGGTATGGGGTGTGGGGGAGTGAGTGGGAGTGTGGGGGTTGAGGAGGAGTGTGGGGTGAGGAGGATTGTGGGGGAGTGATAGAGTTAATGAGCGACTTATCTGGGATGAAATGCGCAGGGCTTCCATACACAACAGGTGTAGTACCAGAATCATGAAGGATAGCGAATGTAATACCGATTTTCAAGAAGGGGAATAGATCACTATCCTTTAACTACCGCCCAATCAGTCTAACATCAATAGTAGGCAAATTACTGGAAGCAATCATTTCAAACTCTATTCGAAATCACCTGGAGAAGCACCGATTGATCAATCATTCCCAGCATGGCTTCACAAGCGGGCGTTCATGTCAAACTAATCTAATAACATTCTTTTCATCAGTTTTCGAATCGGTGGACGAGGGGCACAATTATGATGTGGTATATCTCGACTTTAGCAAAGCCTTCGACAGAGTCCCCCACGAAAGACTAATGAGAAAGGTAGAAGCACATGGCATCAAAAGCAATATCCTTAAATGGATTAGGGCGTGTTTACAGGACAGGAAACAGCGAGTGAGCATTAACGGAACTAAATCCCATTGGAGCAACGTCACTAGGGGACTTCCCCAAGGCTCAGTACTTGGACCATTATTATTTATTATATACATAAACGACATAGATATCGGCATATACAGCAACATAAGTAAATTTGCTGACGACACTAAAATAGGACGTGATATTAAATCTGACGAGGACTCCACAAAACTACAAGAAGATCTAAACAAATTTTTCGAATGGTCTGAAAAATGGCAGATGAAATTCAATGTGACCAAAGGTAAAGTACTCAGTATAGGAGATGTAAACAGCGAAACCAGTTACCAGATGAACAACGATGCCATTGAGAAATCCGACTGTGAGAGAGATTTAGGAGTAATGATAAGTAGGAAACTTAAGCCAAGTAAACAATGTGTATTTGCTCGAAACAAGGCTAATAAAGTACCTGGGTTCATATAAAGGAGTGTTAGTTACAAGACTAGCGAGGTCATCCTAAAACTATATCTTGAGCTTGTGAGACCTCACTTGGATTACGCAGTTCAATTCTGGTCACCATATTACAGAATGGATATAGAATCCTTGGAAAGAATTCAGAGGAGAATGACAAGGCTAATCCCGGGCATTAGGAACCTTGAGTACAGAGACAGGTTAAAGCATCTTAATTTGCACTCCCTCGAGAGAAGTAGTGAGAGGCGATATGATAGAGTTGTATAAATGGAAGTCAGGGCTGAACAAAGGGGACATTACAAAGGTACTCAAACTATCCAACCAGGAGCGAACTGGTAACAATAGTTTTAAATTAGACAAATTTAGATTTAGGCGCGAAATAGGTAAACACTGGTTTGGTAATACAGTAGTGGATGAATGGAACAAGTTACCAAATATCATCATAAACTCGAATACGCTGGATAGCTTCAAACATAGGTTGGATGCTTATATGAGCAATAGGGGTTGGGTGTAAACGGGACTGCCCAGTATGGGTCAATAGGCCCGCTGCAGTTTCCTCCATTCTTAAGACGACTACACCCTAAATAACTAACTTAACCTAACAAGATTCTTCCTCAAGTTCTCATTAATTCTTATTCAACTTTTCTCAGTCAGAAAGTAATTATATATTTATTTTATATAACATCAAGTTTAATGTATTAAAAATTGTTGAGAATACAATAAGGTTTTTTTTTTATTTATAATTGAGTTGAAAAATATTTACACCCATGAGACACGACATTGACAACCCTAATGGCGTGTCCTTCATAGACTCACCTGCCCTGGGTGTTGTCTCCGTCTCTATCTTCATTCTGGCCGTAGAAGTTGCTTGAGGGAGAGTCGTTGACGTCCCACTGGAAGTTGTACACAGCGGGGCCAGACTGGTAATCCTGCCCTCCAGAAGTAGGGGCACCGTAACCCTGAGGGCTCGCCCATGCTGCCACCACCACCAGGAGCAACAGAGCCACAGTCTGATGGAAGAACTACACCATCAACTAACACACTCACAGAACTCCTTTAACAGCACAAAGCCAAAGAATCATGACGGTATGAACCTCTGACATCATCATCGGTCCATAAAGTATAATTTTTGCTGCGCCAGGAAACTTAACCACGAACAGATTGTGTTATTATCTCGAAGAAAACAATAGAAAGTTGTAAGCATGGACACATATTAAAAATTGTTATACTGCAGCAATGAGATCTCAGTATTTTATTTTGTCTCCTTATTTACTTCAGGTATATATATATCTCTAATAATAATGTTACAAGCGTGACTCTAGTGAATATAACTGAGAAACAAAACTCTCAGGTTATTCAAAAGTGTGAGTAGTTACTATACCACGTACAGTACCTTCATGTTGTGTGATGATCAGAGAGCTGAGGAACACTGCTGGCACCACCCTGGACACCACACTATATAAGTGGCCACGCCTGGGTGTGGCCACCTGTACTGGTCCGGCACACCTACATGTTACTTCCTTACAATCAGCAAAGAACAGAGACGATAAGCAACCATCTACCTGTGAAGTATTACAACACAAACACATGTATTAATACGACCCGAGAAGCTTGAAGCCGCATTAGATTGATCAGAATTTCTACATTGTCTCCTCTGGGATTATGACCTATTTTTTGACGATATATCTGGCGTTTTATGTACTGTTTAAGTAAATGGTCGAAGGAAGGACTACCAGTGTGTGATATAGTATGGAGTACAGGGTGTCCCAAAAAATGTCCCTCCCTCCCTCCCTCCAACTTACAGTGTCTCAGGGAGCAGACAGGGAGGGAGGGACATTTTCCTGGGACACCCTGTATACAGTACAGGAACTGGTGATCAGATGTATGGGTCTTTGCCATATAGAGCTTAACAAAGGTGGAATGCGGAAATAAACAGATGATCTCTTGAGAAACTCGGGACACAACACACTGTATTAGTAAGGATCTAAGACTCATTCATCAGTTTATTGTAAAATGGCGATGCGGTTTGCTCTACAATGAGACAAACTCACAAGAGAAGAAGATTACATATAAGTAGGAAGTATAGAGAATAGGAATGTAAAGAGAGGAGCTTGGTAGCGTGACCGGGATGTTATTTACACTGTGTCAACACACTTATCTTATACGTCAATACACATATCTATTCTTCTCAAGGGACAACGTCTCAAACACCTCTTCGATACAACTATTTATTAATTCACTCAATGACATGGACACATCGATATCAGTATTATATCGGGGGACTAACACATTACGTCTTACGTTACTCGACACTGACTCTCGGACACAACATGAATGAATACACTTCCCACAGTAGGTAACTCACCCTAGAGATAGCTCTGACAATGACTCACGTGTAACCTGACGTAGGCCCAGTGGGTGTTGGCTGGGCTCTCGTATGCGATACTCTGCTTAGCTGGTGACGTCGTGAAGTCCCCCGACCTGGGGGGAGGGAACGAGCGACTCTGTGCGAGTGACCAGAATGACCTCTCAATAACCAAACTCTCTCAATCAGACGAATGAGCAGAATCCCAACCAGAATGAGAGTTTGTGTACGATCCACTTGTGAGAGAGTCAAAGGTGAGTGACTTAGTGAGAGATGGGTTAATGTATGGGGGCGTGCATGGCTGTGTTGATATACTATATACACTGACGATGAGTGTCTGAATAATAGTAGAAAGTTAGTGAAATGTGTCTACAACTGTCAGAGTTTCAAGCAGAGAGGAGAAAAAGAGTGGAAGAAGTCTGAAATAATATGAAGACATCTGTTACTTTTTTGCGGATGGTATAAACATGATACAGTAATGTGATGTATGATCTCCCTCACACACACACACACCATGAAAGTTGGTATAAATCGTGGCGAAATTTACCTCCGGGATTACTATAAGGTATTGGCGAGTAGGGTTAAAACCGAGATAAGGAAAGCCAAGAGGAATAATGAGGTAAGGATAGCAAGGGAGGCGAAGACAAACTCCAAAAGATTCTACCAAATGTATCAAACTAAAACACAAGAAAAGATTGGACCAATACGGTGAGATACCAGCGAGCTAACTGATAATGACGGAGAAATGAGCAATAATCTGAATAAATATTTTTCAACAGTTTTCACCACCGAAAATTTAAACATGATACATACCTACCGTACCTAACTACCTATTAGATGTCATTGGCCGACATCTCATGCTTCCTCTCCCCATTTCATTAGTTCTTTTTGCTACTTCCCTCTGTGTGTGTATGAAGCCAATGCATGATGGACAGGCCACTAAGGCGAAACCCAACAAGCTGGGTTACTTGCAGTCCATTCCAACTGTTGCTCTCCCAAGTTTTTGTACCACTGGCTCAGGAAAAGGGGGAGCCCGGACTTAGGGCCTAGAAAACAGTGCGTTAATGTTCGAACTAAGGCAAACAGAGTATTAGGTTTTATATCTAGAAGTGTAGGTAATATCAATGCAGAGGTCTTATTGCAACTATATCTTGCGCTAGTCAGACCGCACCTCGATTATGAGGTTCAGTTCTGGTGCCCCTATTATAGAATGGATATCATTTCACTGGAGTCGGTGCAGCGAAGAATGACGAAAATGATTCCGGGACTTAGAAACCTTCCACATCAGGATAGGTTAAATAAACTAAACTTGCATTCCCTAGAAAGACGAAGAGTGCTGGGAGATATGATACAAGTATATAAGTGGGTGAAAGGAATCAATAAAGGGGATATAGATAAAGTTCTTATAATATCCGAGCAGGATAGGACTCGGAGCAACGGATTTAAGTTGGATAAGTTTAGGTTTAGAAGGGAGATAGGAAGGAACTGGTTCACAAATAGGGTGGTGGACGAGTGAAACAAGCTTTGTAGTAAGTGCTGGAACGCTGGAAAGTTTCAAAAGGAGGCTGGAAAGATTCATGGATGATAGAGAGTGGTAGTAACTCTCGACAGGAGCTGCCATGCACAGGCCAACCGACCTATTGCAGATTCCTTATTTTCTTATGTTCTTATGTTCTTATGTATGCCCTTAGCAAAGTTGCTTAACATGTCTTTAAAAACAGGTGTAGTACCAGAATCCTGGAGGATAGCGAATGTAATACCGATTTTCAACTGCCGCCCAATCAGTCTCACATCAATAGTAGGCAAATTACTGGAAGCAATCATTTCAAACTCTATTCGAAATTACCTGGAGAAGCACAAATTGATCAATCATTCCCAGCATGGCTTCACAAACAGGCGTTCATGTCTAACTAATCTATTAACATTCTTTTCATCAGTTTTCGAATCGGTGGACGAGGGGCACAATTATGATGTGGTATATCTCGACATTAGCAAAGCCTTCGACAGAGTCCCCCCACGAAAGACTAAGGTAGAAGCACATGGCATCAAAGGTAATATCCTTAAATGGATTATGGCGTGGTTATAGGACAGGAAACAGCGAGTGAGCATTAACGGAACTAAATCCCATTGGAGCAACGTCACTAGTGGAGTTCCCCAAGGCTCAGTACTTGGACCATTATTATTTATTATATACATAAACGACATAGATATCGGCATAGACAGCAACATAAGTAAATTTGCTGATGCCACGAAAATAGGACGTGTAAAACTACAGGAAGATCTAAACAAATTTTTCGAATGGTCTGAAAAATGGCAGATGAACTTTAACGTGGACAAATATAAAGTACTCAGTATAGGAAATGTAAACAGGGAAACCAGTTACCAGATGAACAACGATGCCATTGAGAAATCCGACTGCGAGAGAGATTTAGGAGTAATGATAAGTAGGAACCTTAAGCCAAGTAAACAATGTGTATTCTCTCGAAACAAGGCTAATAAAGTATTTGGGTTCATACAAAGGAGTGTTAGTTACAAGACTAGCGAGGTCATCCTAAAACTATATTTTGCGCTTGTGAGACCTCACTTGGATTACGCAGTTCAGTTCTGGTCACCGTATTACAGAATGGATATAGAATCCTTGGAATGAATTCAGAGGAGAATGACAAGGCTAATCCCGGGCATTAGGAACCTTGAGTACAGAGACAGGTTAAAGCATCTTAATTTGCACTCCCTCGAGAGACGTAGTGAGAGGCGATATGATAGAGTTGTATAAATGGAAGTCAGGGCTGAACAAAGGGGACATTACAAAGGTATTCAAACTATCCAACCAGGAGCGAACTCGTAACAGTGGTTTTAAATTAGACAAATTTAGATTTAGGCGCGAAATAGGTAAACACTGGTTTGGTAATAGAGTAGTGGATGAATGGAACAAGTTACCAAATATCATCATTAACTCGAATACGCTGAATAGCTTCAAACATAGGTTGGATGCTCATATGAGCAATAGGGGTTGGGTGTAAATGGGACTGCCCAGTATGGGCCAATAGACCCGCTGCAGTTTCCTCCATTCTTATGTTCTTATGTTCTTAAATCATCAGTCCATATACACGCGGACTTCCATATACAAAAAATTACATCACTAGTCGGAAATCGAACCCTGGACCTCTGCAATGTCCGTAGCTTAAGAGAGACATGTTATAGGAGTTATGATATTTAACGTAAAAATTTCTTAAGTGTTTTACCTGTGATCAGTATGTCACGTGAGCCACATCCCGTGACCACCTCGCCTAGGGTTCATTACTATCGCTTCTCATGACTGTTGGTGACAATTGGTGATATATATGTGGATTTTTACCCAAGTCGCTTCTCTTGTTGTCCCGATTACCATATACGGTATTTCTATCTCTATTTACCCCTGACTCTCCCTCTTTCTATCATTTGAGTTTCTTTTTGTTCTCTCTCTTCAGCTTGTTCCTCCTCTGCTCTTTACACACCTCTCAGGCAGTCGCTCATCCCTGTCAATGGTAGTTGTTCTTCCTCCACCTGACACCAGCCCAGTCATCCCGCCCTTATCCATCCTCTCCACATGACCAAACCAACAAAACGCTTCCTTCTTGAGATCATCCATTCATCCCTTTCCTCCGTCGCTCATACAGTGGTCGGTGTGAACTGGTTACAACAGAGTGTGCGTCACGCTTCAGTCTAGCTACCGTCACACGCACACTTACTCCTCACTCCTAACTACGGCTCATTTTGGATGCATCGTTGCTTTTGTCGAGTCATACTTGGAAAAGTTTATCAGTGGGGTTTTTTCTTGTTCTCTCGAGTCGCCTGCTTGACTATTCAAAAACACATAAATTTTTTGCACTGTGAATAAACAACAGCAAATAAGAGGCTGTAATGTGTGCGAATGTTGCTCTTGCTTCCAGCCCATCCTGCATTATAGCGGGAAAAGGCCTGATAGAGTGTGCACAATGATCTGTTTTGTCGAGAACATTATATTATGAATGAATTATGATTACAGCAAGATGCCGAGTCACATAAGAAAGAATTATAATAGAAACCAGGAAATTGTAAGGCGAGTGAAAGTTGTGTGAGCTGTAATGGAGGGATGGAGGGAGGGCTTATGAGAGATGCTGCGAGACGGCTCAACTGATGGGAAGGGGAAGACAGTAAAGCAAGAGAAAAGACAGATATAAGATGGAGAGAGATAGTGAAGGACTGTGTACACCTTGGGCCGCGGTCAGAGCTTTTCATTGTAGCCCGCACCTGAAATTACAATAAAGCCAACCTATGGCCCCCGCCTCTATGTAATGGCTAGTGTCACCAATGTGCACATACATTATACCCTTCGTGTGGCTAAAGCATCCATACAACCAGACATTGATAGCTTAGTGCAACAATAATACATAGTCGTCCATCCCAGTCGACCAACAAATAAAACAATAAACCTTTTTAGCTTGAGAGTTGTCATTTAAAATCAATACAGGAAGTGTGGCCTTACTTTCCATCAAAAGACTCACGATAACATTCAAAAGTTCCTCCATGACTCATTTTAGTAAGTCATCTCATCACTCTACATCACCATAAATTTCTTCCTTTCTTTAGACATAAACAAACAAAACCCCCCAAATATCTCCACAACCTCCGTCCCGTCACTGCAAACTTTATTCCATTCCCACAAAGTTCGTCGCATCAGCCAGAAACAATCACCATGACTCACTCCCACTCAACCTCCATAAACTGTTCTTGGGATTCTCACGTTCCACACACTCACCAAGACGTTTATCTGTTGGCGAAAAAAAAAAATCAACCAAAATTTTATCCCATCTCTCAAGCCTTGTCTTCATCCCTCATATTTTACCCCATCCCTCATACCCCGTCCTTAGCCTTCCTATTTTACCCCATTCCTCATTTTCTGCCACATCCATTTAAAAAATTATGCCCCCATGCCAGTTTGACATTTCAGTTTTCATGTCGTTTACTCCACGTTCTACTTAGTGTGACGTGAGAGGAGGTGTCACCGTTACGTCATAAACTGATTGGCGTGTCCTCCCAAACCCGGAAATCTGACTAGTTCTCTCGTCTCTTCCAGCGAAAGTTACACCCGCTGCCCTGATCCATGCACCTTCCTAAAACATAACACCACATTTACTGGCCCAAACACCACCCTGACTCAACCAAACACGCCCCCTTCACTGCTATACCAAACACGCCCCCTTCACTGCTATACCAAATACTCCCTTCACTGCTATACCAAATACTCCATTCATTGCGATAACAAACACAATCCCTTCACAGCTATCCTAAACACGTTCCTGGGATTGCATACATTTATAAATACTGAAAATTTAATATGCGTTGAAAGGCTGCACAAGGAGCTCTTTTCCTTACTGACTGACAGGCTGATGATTAACCCCCTCTCGGTGCAGAGGTGTATATTATCTTAAAAAACCAATTGCAGCTGTCTCTTGGTTTCCCTCGGGTTCTTTCTCGTGTCTGTCGGGGAGAGTGAGTTTTTTGTTTACCGCTGTTGATTGCATTACTTACGCCGCCAACTGTTGTATCGCCAGAGTGAACATCTCGCTCTGGTGCTGTTATTTGTTTTGTATTAAAATGGAGGCAAGTTTCGAGTTTAAGACGTCACAAGAAGGTTGTTACCATGACGTGACATTTCTGGGGACATATAAAGCGTAGCGCGGGTGTTTGGTCAGTAGTTCAGCTCACACCTCCAGCCAATACGCGACCATGAAGGTACCACGTCTGCTGTAAAACTATAAAGACCAGATTCTTAACATTACACCTGGTTTTATATCTGTGCCTAAAATCCTTAAGTTAATTTGTAACAATGATTATTTAAATCTTATTCCGGGATCTTGAGAACATGGCAGACAAAGAAAGCTTACGAGCATCAGGATTTCTCAAATGTCGCCTCACAACATTACGAAATATATGACAGATTTCTTATATTTTGATTATTATCTTCCCTCCAACAGGTAGTGGCTTTAGTGTTCTCGGCTTTGATTGTGGTGGCGGCACGGGCGAGCCCTCAGGGCTATGGCGCCACAGGGTCAGGTGGAGGGTCCGCCTCCGCACCCGCCCAATACAACTTCCAGTGGGACGTGGACGACCAACAATCAGGCAACTTCTACGGCCACGGGGAACAAGCAAACAACGGCCTCGTCCAGGGCAGGTCAGTTGAACCGACAGTACCAGATAGACAATGAAATATTCTGAGTAAATAAACATGCCATATTTTTATGAGTATAAGAAAAGTCTTGTAGTTTTAAATACATCTTAGCCACCCGGCACAGTGCACGGTTAACAATTGTAACTTCTACATAATGACTGATATTAATGTTCAACCCGCAGGTACTACGTGAGGCTGCCAGACACTCGTCTCCAGCAGGTGGAGTACACCGCTGACGACTCCGGCTACCATCCCATCGTTACCTATGAAGGAGAGGCCCAGTTTGGCGGCAGTTCTGGTGGCGGCGGATCTGGTGGACACGGAGGCTACGCCTAGTCGACAGTACAACACCCTAAAGCTACTTCATATTTTAGAGCTGTAATTAGCTTTTGATTGAAACTTTTTTATTGCTTGTAGAATCATGCACAGAGAATGTATGAAGCAGCACCGGGACATCATAAAGAGCTCCGACAGGACCTGATGCCCGCCAGCTGCCTCACAACCTATGCAGGGCATACAGCAAGCCAGTCTTGCCTATTTTATTCTTTTATTGTGTACTAAAGAAATCATGCCGGTTTTGAAGACTTTAGATTTATTAATTACTCCAAGAGAAACCATTTTGGCACTTGAGTTATACATTTGTAAATAAATGAATGTCTAAATTATAATTCTGAATAATTAACCAACGGATATGGGACTTAATAACACTGATACTCGTTTATGAAATAATGAAACAAATGCTACGACCCAAATTATTTATTCTACATATTATGAGCTGTACTAAGTTATGGTTCAGAAATTGTCATCTAATTTGGAATCTACAGTAATGTGAAAATACAAGTAAGATGAGAGCGTGTGACGGAGACCCAACCCTCAACTGTCTTGGTGAGGCAAGAAGAAAATTAAGCATTCAAAAGATATCACACGGATCAGATATTAAAACGAGAGTAACAGTTCAACAAACACTGGGCCCTTAGTGTTATCTCCGTATAAGAGAGATCAGGGCCGGATTCTGGAATGGGCAAAATGGGCAGCTGCCCAGGGGCCTCCACATATTAAAATATTTTATTTATTTGTTTATTCATTTGGATTATTTTTATTTTCATTCTTTAAAATTCATGTTTATCTATCACTTGTGTGTGTGTGTGTGTGTTGGGAATTTGTACACGATAAATAAATATACAGTTAATTAAAAATATCTCAATGCTCTAATTTCCTCAATACAGCGCCCCCCGGAACTCCCAGATGTTTAAGTTCGCTTCACTCGCCACTCCACCCTCTTGGGTAGTTATAATGAGGGGGGCCTCCACAAAGAGGCTGCCCATGGGCCTCCACAGGTCTAAATCCGGCACTGAGAGAGATGTTTACAGTCCAAGGAACACTTATAACTAATGAAAACAACAACACCGTGACGATGATTAACGCTAGAACAGTGGAAGAAGAATTTATGACAAATGTGTGAAGTACATAAATATTAGCTACTTGGTGATCTTGGGTCATCTTGAAGCTGAAATCTCATTAATACAGTGAGATATATAGAGTGTCCCAGAAAAATGTCTGCTCCCCGAGATACTGTGAGTTGCAGGGAGGGAAGGAGGAAGACAGGAAGCAGGAGGGCAGGGAGGGAAGGAGGCAGGGAGCAGACAGAGAGGAAAGGAGACAGAGTCACTTTTCTGGGACACCCTATATACAACAAACTCCTGTCCATCCTTATTCGTAATCTTACTGCTCCTCGTCCCCTTCACACAGTCAACGTGTTGTGCGTGTAGTGAGTAGGATGAACACGAACGCTTTTACACTGAACACTAACACGGAAAATGAATATAAACCTAACCTAACCTATCTAAAGTGCAGTATAAATTAAGCTGTAGCGGTAAAGGAAGATGGCTATCAATGTAGAACCAAACTAAAGTGGCATGTTTATGTATGAACCACTAACATATTGAAATCTTTGTACCTGTAAATGCATTTATTATGTAACATGTATTTTTTATTGTAATGAAAGGAAATGAGTTTACGGGTGAATATGATAAGCTGGTTGGTTAGGATTCAGGGTGGCACAGAACACACCAGTACCAGGCTTCAGAAAGAACAACTGCAGTCCCATTGTGAAGCTCATGAGATTCCCCTTAAAAAAAATAAAATAAAAAAGTATTTATCAGAGGACTACAGCGACTATTGTACCGTGACCCTTCAAAAATGCATAATATGTATAACAGTAATAGTATGTGTGTGTGTCCTGTGATTAGTGAATAAACCCCAGTAACTTCCATTTCATAAGATAAATAGGAGGAAAATGTAAAACTGGTGATAAGTGTGGACAGTACTACGTCTTGAGCCATCCTGTATCGTGTGGTTACTGTTACAGGTTGGGTGAATACTGATCTGTAATAAAACTGTTAATGTTCTTATTATTACAAAGTGCTCTAGACAGGCTTCAATAGGTCAATTGTTGGTTAATTGTGAAGGAGATAACCCAGAGTGAAAAATACACTTAAAACAAACCAATGCATTTACAAAGAAAACTCACGCATGAACATTACAAAGCAAAACGGAACGGTAACTTAATTTAAATTCCTATTAAACATCCTAAATATTATACCTAACAATAATAAAAAGAATAATTTATCTGTTGAGACGAATTAAGGTCAGCCACTTAAGTAAACAAAATAAATACCCAGACAACACCAAGAGAATGGGGAAGCAGCTCCGACACACAGCAGTCAGTGTCAGGACTCAGGAGTCAACTAACTCTCAGAGTCTCAGTCGGCTTTTGCCAACCCAACAGGTGGATGGCGGAAATTTAAGGTCCTCTGGTATTCATCACCGGAACAACAGTAACTAGTCTAATGGCTGTTATGCATAAACAAGCTAATTGGAATAAATCAACGAAATAAATATACTTCACATGTCATATTACTACAAAACATTAAAAAATATATAATTATAATATAATATATACAATACACCTGGATTTATATGAGCTCCAATGACATCACTGATTCACTGGAACTGTCCTTAACCCTGAGTCATCTCGAGTAAGGATTCATGACACGTTTTTTGTGTGTCCTGTGACTGTACACGTTGTTATGGTTGTGCTTGTTAACAGGAGTTTAAGTGTTCGGTTTTACAAGTTAAGTTGGGCATTTGTCAGTAAGGATGAGCTAACGTATTTACAAACAGTCCTATTAATCTTTAGCCAAGCGCGTGTCTCGTCAGTTCTCACTCGGCTACAATATGTTCCCTTCTGCCGCAGCAGAGAGAGATGTTCGTGACTGACCGTGTTGAAGGTTCCTCCCACCACATGACGTGACAAGTTCTGAAGACTTATAAAGAGCAGCGCGGGTGTCCGACCACCAGTTCACCTCACAACTCCAGACGACACACAACCATGAAGGTACAATACAGTACAGTACAGTACTTTGTATCCTGTAAAACTACAAAGCTTAGATTCATAGTTTAATACAAACATAAAAATATTAACGTTTAAAGTATATTACTTATTAATGTGTTGAAGTCTTGGGTCTATTAATAATATATTAGCACCAAATATTACATGATATTTAACCTTTTACTCACTCGAATCTTCGTCTCAGTGTATCATAAACATCATGGGCATTGTGCTGCTGTTTGGCATGACATAATCCAACCTTCATAAGTATGACTCAGTCTTTAATTACGGCTCATTCCCCTCAGGCAGTGGCTCTGGTAATCTCTCTGATGATTGTGGTGGCGGCACGGGCGAGCCCTCAGGGCTATGGCGCCACAGGGTCAGGTGGAGGGTCCGCCTCCGCACCCGCCCAATACAACTTCCAGTGGGACGTGGACGACCAACAATCAGGCAACTTCTACGGCCACGGGGAACAAGCAAACAACGGCCTCGTCCAGGGCAGGTCAGTTGAACCGACAGTACCAGATAGACAATGAAATATTCTGAGTAAATAAACATGCCATATTTTTATGAGTATAAGAAAAGTCTTGTAGTTTTAAATACATCTTAGCCACCCGGCACAGTGCACGGTTAACAATTGTAACTTCTACATAATGACTGATATTAATGTTCAACCTGCAGGTACTACGTGCGGCTGCCAGACACTCGTCTCCAGCAGGTGGAGTACACCGCTGACGACTCCGGCTACCATCCCATCGTTACCTATGAAGGCGAGGCCCAGTATGGCGGCGGTTCTGGTGGCGGCGGATCTGGTGGACAAGGAGGCTACGCCTAGTCGACAGTACAATACTCGGGAACTGTTTACCGTTTTAATTCCATAATTTTTACGCTGTTGTATATCGTCTCCGTTGTTTATTTTCTCTCTGAAACAATAACTGTTGAGGGAAAAGGTACAGGGTCTTCTGTGTTCAGTCAGACGTGAAACTGTTGTACCATGGCGGGTGCTCTTCACCTCCTGTTGCCTCGTAGTATTTTGTTGTATTTTTGTGTTTAAGAGTCATGCAGGTCTTGATTTGTTAATCTTTTTAAAAAACAATATTTTTATACCCGAGTAATAAATAACATGTAAATAAATATTTCTATAAATATTCCTTTTTAGTGACCCAGATATTAAGTGTCCATATTACCCCAGGAGGAAGCTGTGTAGTACACTGTTCTGCCTGCCCTTTAGATTAAAAATAACAGTGATAGTTTTCATAATACTTAAAACATTTATACACAAGAATAATCAACTGACCAAGAGGCAGGCCAGAAACTAACACTTGTGTCTTCACTAAATTATAACATAATACCAAACAAAGTTGACAATATTTAATCTGGTATAAGAATTATTGAGGAAGTTTGCACATATTAGCACCAAAACTACATACGTGATACCATAGTTATATTATGTATATATTATATTAATGAATTGGCAATTTAATTTCAAGCACACCTGCCACCAGATTTCACATAAATTTTTTTTATTATTTAAGCAAATATACGAACATTTGGAAACTTTTCATGGTCTTAAATAATGATGAATAGTTTATTTTTAAAACAAAATGTTACCTTTGGATTGTTTAATATTTATCCTAACAGTGATACAGTCATAAAACAGATCCACCAATCACAATCACCATTACATACAGCCTTACTTCACCAAGTGTTGTCAGGTAAAATTGGGAGTACTGGAGCTGGGGTGAGGTCGATGTATCTTTGGTTGACTCTACAATATGCTTTCTCTTCCAATAAGAGGGACGAGCGTTATACAATAATGATGGATCATTCTTCTGATCTTTCAAGTTACATACAGATCCACATGGTTTTGAAGGATTACGGCTCATCTGTTCAGAGCAGACCGACTGACTGACACTCACGCATATCATAATACAATACTCTCACTCTTCTTGGGAGGTTGACGGTACAAATTTGATGTAAATATCGCAGGTATAACCAGAGAACTAGAGTGTAACTTAAGAAATTGAATGAGAATCAGTCAAAATATTTATAGCTGAACTGAAATTAGATAATTGCGTAAAAAGTAGAGTTTTGTAGATGATTTAGTTGACCTCTGACACAAAGGGCACCATGAGCGGAGAGGCGACCCATCACTGTTCCTGGTACTGTACATATACCCAACCGACCTCATCGCCCTCCACCCTAAGACACTGAATCCACCTTCTGCGTCAGGTGCTGAAGTATATGTGGCTTTGGTGTCACATATCACATTAAGATGAAACAGCAAAGATGAGCAGTATATTCGTTTGGTCTGGATATCTCTCTACCAGTCGGGTTATTTTGTTTGCGGATAAATGTCCGTGTTAATGATGTCGTTACCGTATTTGTTCAGGTCCGGCATGTGTCGTCAGTTTCCTAACCCTCCCGATACTGTTTATATAATGTTATTTAGTGAAATTCATGATTTTGGTCTTTGTTCTTCAGACAGTTTTCTTATATAGTGATACTACACAAGTTATGATTCCTACTATATAGTGATACTACACAAGTTATGATTCCTACTAATTCAGTTTATTTTATGGGTGTTGTAATGTACAAGGTGTTATATGTTCTTGTAATAGTTATGTTGTAATGTTGCTTTATAATGTTTACTTTCCGGGTCGTGTATAAAGTTTCGTGTCTTGTTATTCAACGTCTTAAATATTGAAGAGTAAATTGTACCATTCATTCTCATATGTTTATATTTACTGCCTTTGTTCTATTTAATTAATTCATTACGTCATCAACAATAACATTTGCTCCACATCATTAGGGTTTATGGATGTCATCCATTTGCAGCATTAAAGAGCTAAACTAAAACTAATCATCATCGCGTTTAAGGATGATGGATGATCAATATATTCAGCTTTGTCGTCCATCTTGTCTTACGTCGCCTGTAATACTAGAGTTGGGATGCAATTAACTGATAATGTTTTGTTGAGCAATATTTCAATTTACTTTATTTGTTTTATATGAAATATTCTTTGCTTGTGCCTCTCACTCCGGTATAATGACACGTTGCTCCCTGAATCACTCGTGAGGGCCCTTGAAAGCTTTACGACGTCAGCAGAAGACTGGATGACGTGACAGTTTCTGGAGATATAAAGCCCAGCGCGGGTGTCCGGTCAACAAGTTGTCTCACACCTCCAGCAACAACACAACCATGAAGGTACTGTACCTGGCTCGTGTCTCACTATAAACCTGACACTACTCATGTAACAAGGAGACAAACCTGTGAAGTTTTATAGATTCGTTCTTATGAACAACTTTTAGAAATAGAAATTAATTACCCATCGATAACTTCACTTTTCTTGAGCATAGTGTCTTTATCTTACCACAAGAAGATAACAGAGCCTCACTGTTATACTATGACTCTTTGTTACTGTTCACTTGAACTATGGTTGTAACTTTGTCCTCGATAACAGCATAAACGAGCAAAACTAAACTTCTGTTATTATTAAAGTTGGTCATCAATAGTGTTCCTTCCCTGTCAGACCGCAGCTTTGGTGCTCCTGGTGGTGGTAGCAGCATGGGCGGGTCCTCAAGACTATGGTAGTCAGGGGACTGGTGGGTATGGGGGCTCGGGAGGAGGGTCGTCTGCACCAGCTCCATACAGTTTCCAGTGGGACGTCGACGACGCGCCCTCAGGCAACTTCTACGGTCACGGCGAACAAGGAAGCGGTGGCAACGCCCAGGGCAAGTGAGTTAACAGCAATATGTAACTGAACGATGAAAACCTCATTTAAGCAAAATATCCGTCGTAAATATTATGGCAAAAGAACTCTCTATACATGAGAAGACTTTTCTTCTGGGATCGAGGTTCAAGTCTGTCTCTTTTATTATGTAAAGGTATTCCACTTGGGTAAAGACGTTTGGGTAGTAGAGGAATACGTCGAGGAAATTCTTCTATAATTATATATTAATTTCTGGCATCACTGAATCTTCCTACAGTAAGTTTTGTCACATTGTGAATGTCAAATGCATTTGGTCTCACATAATATTGATATTAATGCTCCTCCTCTCCTTGTCCCGCCCCTAGGTACTACGTGAGGCTGCCAGACACTCGTCTCCAGCAGGTGGAGTACACCGCTGACGACTCCGGCTACCATCCCATCGTTACCTATGAAGGCGTGGCCCAGTTTGGCGGCGGTTCTGGTGGACAAGGAGGCTACGCCTAGTCAACAGTACAACACTCGGGAACTGTTTACCGTTTTAATTCCATAATTTTTACGCTGTTGTAGATCGTCTCCGTTGTTTATTTTCTCTCTGAAACAATAACTGTTGAGGGAGAAGGTACAGGGTCTTCTGTGTTCAGTCAGACGTGAAACTGTTGTACCATGGCGGGTGCTCTTCACCTCCTGTTGCCTCGTAGTATTTTGTTGTATTTTGTGTTTAAGAGTCATGCAGGTCTTGATTTGTTAATTTGTTAAAAAAAACAATATTTTTATACCCGAGTAATAAATACCACGGCAATAAATATTTCTATAAATATTCCTTTTTAGTGACCCAGATATTAAGTGTCCATATTACCCCAGGAGGAAGCTGTGCAGTACACTGTCTTGTCTGCCCTTTAGATTAAACTTATAAAGGCACTGACACAACCGATCCCAACACCATTATGAGCCTGATTGATTATAAGAAAGAATTAGACTCTGGATCATACTACTGTAATATACTGTACCCAGGAACTGTATTTATTAGGTGCGTTACTTACTGTATTAAACCTCTAGTTAACAATATGGTGACTTTCTTCAATATTTTCAATGGTTACTTGCTAGATTAGGTTCAACCGTAGACAATGTGGTACTGTATATTTTATTTAAAGAAAATAGTAGTTAATTAAGTAGTTATCAATTAACAAGAACAATCAAATGACCGAGAGGCAGGCCAGGACTTAACAGGTATAAGAATTATTGAGGAAGTTTGTACATATTAGCACCAAAACTACATACGTGATACCATAGTTATATTATGTATATATTATATTAATGAATTGGCAATTTAATTTCAAGCACACCTGCCACCAGATTTCACATAATTTTTTTTTATTATTTAAGCAAATATACGAACATTTGGAAACTTTTCATGGTCTTAAATAATGATGAATAGTTTATTTTTAAAACAAAATGTTACCTTTGGATTGTTTAATATTTATCCTAACAGTGATACAGTCATAAAACAGATCCACCAGTCACAATCACCATTACATACAGCCTTACTTCACCAAGTGTTGTCAGGTAAAATTGTGAGTACTGGAGCTGGGGTGGGGTCGATGTATCTTTGGTTGACTCTACAATATGCTTTCTCTTCCAATAAGAGGGACGAGCGTTATACAATAAAGATGGATCATTCTTCTGATCTTTCAAGTTACATACAGATCCACATGGTTTTGAAGGATTACGGCTCATCTGTTCAGAGCAGACCGACTGACTGACACTCACGCATATCATAATACAATACTCTCACTCTTCTTGGGAGGTTGACGGTACAAATTTGATGTAACTATCTCAGGTATAACCAGAGAACTAGAGTGTAACTTAAGAAATTGAATGAGAATCAGTCAAAATATTTATAGCTGAACTGAAATTAGATAATTGCGTAAAAAGTAGAGTTTTGTAGATGATTTAGTTGACCTCTGACACAAAGGGCACCATGAGCGGAGAGGCGACCCATCACTATTCCTGGTACTGTACATATACCCAACAGACCTCATCGCCCTCGACCCTAAGACACTGAATCCACCTTCTGCGTTAGGTGCTGAAGTATATGTGGCAGTTAAGATGAAACAGCAAAGATGAGCAGTATATTCGTTTGGTCTGGATATCTCTCTACCAGTCGGGTTATTTTGTTTGCGGATAAATGTCCGTGTTAATGATGTCGTTACCGTATTTGTTCAGGTCCGGCATATGGCGTCAGTTTCCTAACCCTCCCGATACTGTTTATATCATGTTATTTAGTGAAATTCATGATTTTGGTCTTTGTTCTTCAGACAGTTTTCTTATATAGTGATACTACACAAGTTATGATTCCTACTATATAGTGATACTACACAAGTCATGATTCCTACTAATTCAGTTTATTTTATGGGTGTTGTAATGTACAAGGTGTTATATGTTCTTGTAATAGTTATGTTGTAATGTTGCTTTATAATGTTTACTTTCCGGGTCGTGTATAAAGTTTCGTGTCTTGTTATTCAACGTCTTAAATATTGAAGCGTAAATTGTACCATTCATTCTCATATGTTTATATTTACTGCCTTTGTTCTATTTAATTAATTCATTACGTCATCAACAATAACATTTGCTCCACATCATTAGGGTTTATGGATGTCATCCATTTGCAGCATTAAAGAGCTAAACTAAAACTAATCATCATCGCGTTTAAGGATGATGGATGATCAATATATTCAGCTTTGTCGTCCATCTTGTCTTACGTCGCCTGTAATACTAGAGTTGGGATGCAATTAACTGATAATGTTTTGTTGAGCAATATTTCAATTTACTTTATTTTTTTTATATGAAATATTCTTTGCTTGTGCCTCTCACTTCGGTATAATGACACGTTGCTCCCTGAATCACTCGTGAGGGCCCTTGAAAGCTTTACGACGTCAGCAGAAGACTGGATGACGTGACAGTTTCTGGAGATATAAAGCCCAGCGCGGGTGTCCGGTCAACAAGTTGTCTCACACCTCCAGCAACAACACAACCATGAAGGTACTGTACCTGGCTCGTGTCTCACTATAAACCTGACACTACTCATGTAACAAGGAGACAAACCTGTGAAGTTTTATAGATTCGTTCTTATGAACAACTTTTAGAAATAGAAATTAATTACCCATCGATAACTTCACTTTTCTTGAGCATAGTGTCTTTATCTTACCACAAGAAGATAACAGAGCCTCACTGTTATACTATGACTCTTTGTTACTGTTCACTTGAACTATGGTTGTAACTTTGTCCTCGATAACAGCATAAACGAGCAAAACTAAACTTCTGTTATTATTAAAGTTGGTCATCAATAGTGTTCCTTCCCTGTCAGACCGCAGCTTTGGTGCTCCTGGTGGTGGTAGCAGCATGGGCCGGTCCTCAAGACTATGGTAGTCAGGGGACTGGTGGGTATGGGGGCTCTGGAGGAGGGTCGTCTGCACCAGCTCCATACAGTTTCCAGTGGGACGTCGACGACGCGCCCTCAGGCAACTTCTACGGTCACGGCGAACAAGGAAGCGGTGGCAACGCCCAGGGCAAGTGAGTTAACAGCAATATGTAACTGAACGATGAAAACCTCATTTAAGCAAAATATCCGTCGTAAATATTATGGCAAAAGAACTCTCTATACATGAGAAGACTTTTCTTCTGGGATCGAGGTTCAAGTCTGTCTCTTTTATTATGTAAAGGTATTCCACTTGGGTAAAGACGTTTGGGTAGTAGAGGAATACGTCGAGGAAATTCTTCTATAATTATATATTAATTTCTGGCATCACTGAATCTTCCAACAGTAAGTTTTGTCACATTGTGAATGTCAAATGCATTTGGTCTCACATAATATTGATATTAATGCTCCTCCTCTCCTTGTCCCGCCCCTAGGTACTACGTGAGGCTGCCAGACACTCGTCTCCAGCAGGTGGAGTACACCGCTGACGGCTCCGGCTACCATCCCATCGTTACCTATGAAGGCGTGGCCCAGTTTGGCGGCGGTTCTGGTGGACAAGGAGGCTACGCCTAGTCAACAGTACAACACTCGGGAACTGTTTACCGTTTTAATTCCATAATTTTTACGCTGTTGTATATCGTCTCCGTTGTTTATTTTCTCTCTGAAACAATAACTGTTGAGGGAGAAGGTACAGGGTCTTCTGTGTTCAGTCAGACGTGAAACTGTTGTACCATGGCGGGTGCTCTTCACCTCCTGTTGCCTCGTAGTATTTTGTTGTATTTTGTGTTTAAGAGTCATGCAGGTCTTGATTTGTTAATTTGTTAAAAAAAACAATATTTTTATACCCGAGTAATAAATACCACGGCAATAAATATTTCTATAAATATTCCTTTTTAGTGACCCAGATATTAAGTGTCCATATTACCCCAGGAGGAAGCTGTGCAGTACACTGTCTTGTCTGCCCTTTAGATTAAACTTATAAAGGCACTGACACAACCGATCCCAACACCATTATGAGCCTGATTGATTATAAGAAAGAATTAGACTCTGGATCATACTACTGTAATATACTGTACCCAGGAACTGTATTTATTAGGTGCGTTACTTACTGTATTAAACCTCTAGTTAACAATATGGTGACTTTCTTCAATATTTTCAATGGTTACTTGCTAGATTAGGTTCAACCGTAGACAATGTGGTACTGTATATTTTATTTAAAGAAAATAGTAGTTAATTAAGTAGTTATCAATTAACAAGAACAATCAAATGACCGAGAGGCAGGCCAGGACTTAACAGGTATAAGAATTATTGAGGAAGTTTGTACATATTAGCACCAAAACTACATACGTGATACCATAGTTATATTATGTATATATTATATTAATGAATTGGCAATTTAATTTCAAGCACACCTGCCACCAGATTTCACATAAATTTTTTTTATTATTTAAGCAAATATACGAACATTTGGAAACTTTTCATGGTCTTAAATAATGATGAATAGTTTATTTTTAAAACAAAATGTTACCTTTGGATTGTTTAATATTTATCCTAACAGTGATACAGTCATAAAACAGATCCACCAGTCACAATCACCATTACATACAGCCTTACTTCACCAAGTGTTGTCAGGTAAAATTGTGAGTACTGGAGCTGGGGTGGGGTCGATGTATCTTTGGTTGACTCTACAATATGCTTTCTCTTCCAATAAGAGGGACGAGCGTTATACAATAAAGATGGATCATTCTTCTGATCTTTCAAGTTACATACAGATCCACATGGTTTTGAAGGATTACGGCTCATCTGTTCAGAGCAGACCGACTGACTGACACTCACGCATATCATAATACAATACTCTCACTCTTCTTGGGAGGTTGACGGTACAAATTTGATGTAACTATCTCAGGTATAACCAAAGAACTAGTGTAACTTAAGAAATTGAATGAGAATCAGTCAAAATATTTATAGCTGAACTGAAATTAGATAATTGCGTAAAAAGTAGAGTTTTGTAGATGATTTAGTTGACCTCTGACACAAAGGGCACCATGAGCGGAGAGGCGACCCATCACTGTTCCTGGTACTGTACATATACCCAACCGACCTCATCGCCCTCCACCCTAAGACACTGAATCCACCTTCTGCGTCAGGTGCTGAAGTATATGTGGCTTTGGTGTCACATATCACATTAAGATGAAACAGCAAAGATGAGCAGTATATTCGTTTGGTCTGGATATCTCTCTACCAGTCGGGTTATTTTGTTTGCGGATAAATGTCCGTGTTAATGATGTCGTTACCGTATTTGTTCAGGTCCGGCATGTGGCGTCAGTTTCCTAACCCTCCCGATACTGTTTATATAATGTTATTTAGTGAAATTCATGATTTTGGTCTTTGTTCTTCAGACAGTTTTCTTATATAGTGATACTACACAAGTTATGATTCCTACTATATAGTGATACTACACAAGTTATGATTCCTACTAATTCAGTTTATTTTATGGGTGTTGTAATGTACAAGGTGTTATATGTTCTTGTAATAGTTATGTTGTAATGTTGCTTTATAATGTTTACTTTCCGGGTCGTGTATAAAGTTTCGTGTCTTGTTATTCAACGTCTTAAATATTGAAGAGTAAATTGTACCATTCATTCTCATATGTTTATATTTACTGCCTTTGTTCTATTTAATTAATTCATTACGTCATCAACAATAACATTTGCTCCACATCATTAGGGTTTATGGATGTCATCCATTTGCAGCATTAAAGAGCTAAACTAAAACTAATCATCATCGCGTTTAAGGATGATGGATGATCAATATATTCAGCTTTGTCGTCCATCTTGTCTTACGTCGCCTGTAATACTAGAGTTGGGATGCAATTAACTGATAATGTTTTGTTGAGCAATATTTCAATTTACTTTATTTGTTTTATATGAAATATTCTTTGCTTGTGCCTCTCACTCCGGTATAATGACACGTTGCTCCCTGAATCACTCGTGAGGGCCCTTGAAAGCTTTACGACGTCAGCAGAAGACTGGATGACGTGACAGTTTCTGGAGATATAAAGCCCAGCGCGGGTGTCCGGTCAACAAGTTGTCTCACACCTCCAGCAACAACACAACCATGAAGGTACTGTACCTGGCTCGTGTCTCACTATAAACCTGACACTACTCATGTAACAAGGAGACAAACCTGTGAAGTTTTATAGATTCGTTCTTATGAACAACTTTTAGAAATAGAAATTAATTACCCATCGATAACTTCACTTTTCTTGAGCATAGTGTCTTTATCTTACCACAAGAAGATAACAGAGCCTCACTGTTATACTATGACTCTTTGTTACTGTTCACTTGAACTATGGTTGTAACTTTGTCCTCGATAACAGCATAAACGAGCAAAACTAAACTTCTGTTATTATTAAAGTTGGTCATCAATAGTGTTCCTTCCCTGTCAGACCGCAGCTTTGGTGCTCCTGGTGGTGGTAGCAGCATGGGCGGGTCCTCAAGACTATGGTAGTCAGGGGACTGGTGGGTATGGGGGCTCGGGAGGAGGGTCGTCTGCACCAGCTCCATACAGTTTCCAGTGGGACGTCGACGACGCGCCCTCAGGCAACTTCTACGGTCACGGCGAACAAGGAAGCGGTGGCAACGCCCAGGGCAAGTGAGTTAACAGCAATATGTAACTGAACGATGAAAACCTCATTTAAGCAAAATATCCGTCGTAAATATTATGGCAAAAGAACTCTCTATACATGAGAAGACTTTTCTTCTGGGATCGAGGTTCAAGTCTGTCTCTTTTATTATGTAAAGGTATTCCACTTGGGTAAAGACGTTTGGGTAGTAGAGGAATACGTCGAGGAAATTCTTCTATAATTATATATTAATTTCTGGCATCACTGAATCTTCCTACAGTAAGTTTTGTCACATTGTGAATGTCAAATGCATTTGGTCTCACATAATATTGATATTAATGCTCCTCCTCTCCTTGTCCCGCCCCTAGGTACTACGTGAGGCTGCCAGACACTCGTCTCCAGCAGGTGGAGTACACCGCTGACGGCTCCGGCTACCATCCCATCGTTACCTATGAAGGCGTGGCCCAGTTTGGCGGCGGTTCTGGTGGACAAGGAGGCTACGCCTAGTCAACAGTACAACACTCGGGAACTGTTTACCGTTTTAATTCCATAATTTTTACGCTGTTGTATATCGTCTCCGTTGTTTATTTTCTCTCTGAAACAATAACTGTTGAGGGAGAAGGTACAGGGTCTTCTGTGTTCAGTCAGACGTGAAACTGTTGTACCATGGCGGGTGCTCTTCACCTCCTGTTGCCTCGTAGTATTTTGTTGTATTTTGTGTTTAAGAGTCATGCAGGTCTTGATTTGTTAATTTGTTAAAAAAAACAATATTTTTATACCGGAGTAATAAATACCACGGCAATAAATATTTCTATAAATATTCCTTTTTAGTGACCCAGATATTATGTGTCCATATTACCCCAGGAGGAAGCTGTGCAGTACACTGTCTTGTCTACCCTTTAGATTAAACTTATAAAGCACTGACACAGCCGATCCCAACACCATTATGAGCCTGATTGATTATAAGAAAGAACTAGACTCTGGATCATACTACTGTAATATACTGTACCCGGGAACTGTATTTATTAGGTGCGTTACTTACCGTATTAAAACCTCTAGTTAACAACATGGTGACTTTCTTCAATATTTTCAATGGTTACTTGCTAGATTAGGTTCAAGGTACTGTATATTATTATGTCAAGGTAATAGTAGTTAATTAAGTAGTTATTAATTATGTATGGTAGAGGAGAGTTTAAACTAATTTATATACAAGAATAATCAACTGACCAAGAGGCAGGCCAGAACCTAACACTTATGTCTTCACTAAATTATAACATAATACCAAACAAAGTTGACAATAATTAATCCCGTATAAGAGTTATTGAGGAAGTTTGTATATATTAGCGCCAAAACTACATACGTGTTACCATAGTTATATATAAAGGATTCACTTCAGAGTTTTAGCAAGATTCCTGCGTATTGGCGACAGAATCATATAACTTATTAAGTAAATGAATATATGGGTATAAGTTTGTCTCGTCGCTGGTGTTCCCTACAGTCATCAAGGTCAGTGTGTCACATAAGTTGGGGCGCTCTTAGATTACCTGTTTTCCACACTGGTACATCTAAGGCTGAACACTTCCCTAATACGAACCAAAAGAAGAAAAAACTGACTGATAAGCCGATAAGTTAGACACAGGTAGGACTCGTAGATGGATCAGCAGAGGAACAACACTTGGTGAAGGTAGAGGAACGTCATCCAAGGAGAGTTTTTATATTAAGGTGTGAGGATATGGGAGTGGTGTCATGGGGACGCCATTTGGTTTCGTAGTGCCTCGCTAACTGTCACTTGGTGTTATGGGACATCACAGTTGGGTGTGAAAGTCAGCCAGACCCTCAACAGTTCCCAGTGCGGACTGACTTAACACCTGTCACTTGATCAGCAGGTGTTGTAGGTCCTTGGGGAGGGTGGGAGGTATGATGGTATCCTACGATCTGACTTGGTGGGTGTGAAGGTCAACTTGGCCACGAATCTCGGCTGTCACTGTTTATTCTGGTGTTCATCACTGTTCATCACTTTTCATCACTGTTTCCACTCCTTTTCGAAACACTTATTTTATTTTTTGTTACCTTTGTCACTGGTTTCTTGCAGAAGTTTGTTGACATATCCTGGTGGAGAGGAGGGTTGAGGGCAGCTGTCGGAGCAACACCAGATACACTATAAGGGGCGGCACCGTGGCTCGCGAGACACACCAGGGTCTGTGGTTGACGTGTGGCTCACGAGACAGTGTTCACTGTTCAATATAACTCCTGTTCCCACGCCACGGCTCGTACAGGTAGAGGGCGGAACAGGTCTATTAACTGATCCTATAAATACTGTACTGCAATTTGCTTTAATCTTACTAACTAAACATAACATATTGATGGTTTTTACATGTCCAAATGACCTAAAATACATAATACAGTACAAATATTATCGGTGATCATAAGTCAGCTGACCACTACTCCAGCGGTCGAGGATTGAGTATATGTTTTAATTATCAGTGTTGCTTAGACTACCGGCCAGTTTTACAGGTGAAAGTTAACTTTTCCCTCACCAACCTACTGGATGAAAGTGGAACTTAAAATGTAAAGAGCGAAAGTGAAGGAAGAAAGCAGATGTTTTAAGCAAGAGGAATATTTAGCATTCACTGTTAAAAGTGGGAAACCTGCGTGTCTTAACTGCCACGTTTCACTCACCTTAACCCCAGTAATTTAAAACGTAATCATAAAACTTAACTTAAAAGCTATGTTTTTGAATAACCTCCCAAGTGAGAATTGCGGAAAACTAAGCTTACGACGCTGAAATCTGGTTTAAATGGTCAGTACACTTTACTTTCGTCATTTCATAAAACAGCTGATTGAACGACTGAAGTTAATTTTGCTATGATATGGGATATTGCCCATGCTAAACGTTACTACTCTGACTGAGAGTTTGTAAAGAATATTATCGACGTAGCTGCAATTCTAGACACAAATAGCTCAAAACTTCAACGGCAAATAGCAAGTGTTCTATTTCCCTCCACAACATGAAGAGATTCAAGTTGCAAAATGACGTGAAAAATTCTGTTCCATACTGATCCCTCGATGAATCCACAGCATACAAGATAATCTACAACTGGTAATATTTGCTCATTATGTTGCTACTCATGTAACTGTTAAGGACGAAATATTGGACTTAATAACCCTAAGAGAAACCACTCGTAGCGTTGAAATAAAGAACGTACATGACTTGACAAATCATTGACAGATGTTAACGTAACAACAGATGGTGGGAAAAATGAAGACTTTGTTGGGCTCATGAAAAGTGATTCCAAGTTTCCTGCCTGTGTCTTTCACTATTACATCACCCACTGAGATAATTTACTAAGCAAGTTCTTTAAGTCTGATAGTGATATAAAAAATGTCCTCGAAGCTGTCAGTTTCATCCGTTAAAATTGATGAATACACCGACAGTTCAGGTATTTCATTGAGGAGCTAAATCTTGAATACAAACTAAACTAGTATGAGGTGGTTGTCAGCTAGTAATGTATTGAATTGGTTTGTTGAGTTGTTGTAGTGGAAGAGAAGGGAAGGTCATACCCACAACCAGAAGATAATGAAAAAAAGATCCATTATCAAGAAACTTTACCCTCATTCTACATCTCAAGAGCAAGTTAAAAACACATTCCCTGATGCTGAAGAATAATATCATCAACTGAAAGACAGACAAATAGACAGTTCCAGTTTAGGTTTGATGGCTTGTGAAGGTAAGACTCTGCTCTGAATGTCTTGAAAATCAATTAATGAACGATATGATCAGCCTTGGTTGCCCACACCCTTAATGCCGGAAGCTGCTGCGGTAGACACAGAACTTCAGTAGATGCAGGAGGAACTGGTCTTATATATGATCCATAAGTCCCTGTCTACACGTGAGATTTGGAAGCAAGTGAGGGAAGCAAAGTATATAGCCTCAGTGAGAGAAGCAAAGTATACTGTATATACTGAGTGAGAGAAGCAAAGTATACTGTATATACTGAGTGAGAGAAGCAAAGTATACTGTAGATACTGAGTGAGAGAAGCAAAGTATACTGTAGATACTGAGTGAGGGAAGCAAAGTATATAGCCTCAGTGAGAGAAGCAAAGTATACTGTAGATACTGAGTGAGAGAAGCAAAGTATACTGTAGATACTGAGTGAGAGAAGCAAAGTATACTGTATATACTGAGTGAGAGAAGCAAAGTATATTGTATATACTGAGTGAGAGAAGCAAAGTATACTGTAGATACTGAGTGAGAGAAGCAAAGTATACTGTAGATACTGAGTGAGGGAAGCAAAGTATATAGCCTCAGTGAGAGAAGCAAAGTATACTGTATATCCTGAGTGAGAGAAGCAAAGTATATTGTATATACTGAGTGAGAGAAGCAAAGTATACTGTAGATACTGAGTGAGAGAAGCAAAGTATACTGTAGATACTGAGTGAGGGAAGCAAAGTATATAGCCTCAGTGAGAGAAGCAAAGTATACTGTATATACTGAGTGAGAGAAGCAAAGTATACTGTATATACTGAGTGAGAGAAGCAAAGCATACTGTATATACTGAGTGAGAGAAGCAAAGCATACTGTATATCCTGAGTGAGAGAAGCAAAGTATATTGTATATACTGAGTGAGAGAAGCAAAGTATACTGCATATACTGAGTGAGAGAAGCAAAGTATACTGTATATACTGAGTGAGAGAAGCAAAGTATACTGTATATACTGAGTGAGAGAAGCAAAGTATACTGTATATCCTGAGTGAGAGAAGCAAAGCATACTGTATATACTGAGTGAAAGAAAGCCAGTGTACACTACATGAACCAGGTTCCGAAGATCTACAATCCAGTGATGGAGACCTGCGTCAAGCCTTCACTTCTAGCAGGGATTAGCCAGACCTCAGTAATCTTCATCTCATAGAGTAAATATTATTAATCAAAAGTTTCAAAGTTTCAAAAGTAACAAAATATTTTAGACTATACAATAATCAGTTTAGATTAAGAATTAGGCATGCAATATTTTTATGTGATTACTTAAAAGAAAAACAAATGTGTGCATCAGTAATGTAAATGTATTTGAAAAAGTTTCCCATGCTTTGCGATTCTCATATATCTGTAAATTGAAAGTTTGTCCACATCTGCTATCTTTAGTATTCCTTGCTTAAGACACTCACTGCGATATAATGATTAAGTTTTTCCTAATTTATTTGTGGGGGTCCTTGAAAGTGGAGTGACGTCAGCAGAAGACTGGATGACGTGACAGTTTCTGGAGATATAAAGCCCAGCGCGGGTGTCCGGTCAACAAGTTGTCTCACACCTCCAGCAACAACACAACCATGAAGGTACTGTACCTGGCTCGTGTCTCACTATAAACCTGACACTACTTATGTAACAAGGAGACAAACCTGTGAAGTTTTATAGATTCGTTCTTATGAACAACTTTTAGAAATAGAAATTAATTTCTCATCGATAACTTCACTGTCATTAAATACAGTGCCTTTATCTAATCACAAGAAGATAACAGTGCCTCTGTTTTACTATGACTCTTTGTCACTGTTCACTTGAACTATGGTTGTAACTTTGTCCTCGATAACAGCATAAACGAGCAAAACTAAACTTCTGTTATCATCAAAGTTGGTCATCAATAGTGTTCCTTCCCCGTCAGACCGCAGCTTTGGTGCTCCTGGTGGTGGTAGCAGCATGGGCGGGTCCTCAAGACTATGGTAGTCAGGGGACTGGTGGGTATGGGGGCTCGGGAGGAGGGTCGTCTGCACCAGCTCCATACAGTTTCCAGTGGGACGTCGACGACGCGCCCTCAGGCAACTTCTA